AACAGCCACAAGAAAACTCACACAAGAAAACCCTTTTTGTTCCTTCTTCAGCTGCTGCCCTAAAACTCTGAAGAGTGGTCATGTTGCTATGGATATGACTGGCTGGTGATGCTCTTTCAGGAGGAAGCGGGTTCTTCCCCACGCCCTCATCTGTCTTGTAGATAATAGAGCAAGAAGCCAGGGGATGCTCTTTTGTTCAGTCTGGCTGATACTGATAGCTGGAATGACACAGAGAGGCTTGTCTTGTGCTGTGCTGAATCCAAAGCTATGGTTTGGGGGGTCCCTCTCCCCCAGCAACCTAATAGAGAAGCAAGCTCTGTTGGAGTATTAATGCTGTGAGCCCCTCCACCCTATGCTCAGGTTGTAAAGGTAAAGGGACCCCTGACCATTAGGTCCAGTCGTGACCGACTCTGGGGTTGCGGCACTCATCTCGCTTTATTGGCCGAGGGAGCCGGCGTTTGTCCGCAGACAACTTCCGGGTCATGTGGCCAGCATGACTAAGCCACTTCTGGCGAACCAGAGCAGCACACGGAAACGCCGTTTACCTTCCTATTTATCTACTTGCACTTTGACGTGCTTTCGGACTGCTAGGTTGGCAGGAGCAGGGACCGAACAACGGGAGCTCACCCCGTCACGGGGATTCGAACCGCCGACCTTCTGATCGGCAAGTCCTAGGCTCTGTGGTTTAACCCACAGCGCCACCTGCGTCCCTGCTCAGGTTGTATATATGTTCAAATAAAACCACCATCTTAATAAAAGACACCACAGTCTGTCTCCAATATCTTCATTTCAAGGAAACCAGAAGTAAGCACTAGAACCTCTGAAATATTTTTGCCACTTGGAGACTGGGGTGTGCACAGCGGTATATTAAATGCAGAGTGGGGAGAGTCAATCCATATACACAAACATTCATTAATCCTTTCTTGTTTCTAGGCCTTCAGACCTTGCAGGAGGTGAAAACTGCAAGAAGTATGTCACTCGTGTCGGAAAAGCCAATATTGATGTCCTGGAAAGAGATTCCCCACAACGGAAACAGCTTCTGTCAGAGGCGTTAGCTTGCCTGGTAAGTAAAGTATAATTCTGGCACCTTAAGTAGCTATAAGAGCAAAAGCATTTATTCAAGCTTGCGTCTGTGCCAAATAAGTGGCAATCTGGACCAAGAAACTTTCAATTTAACTCAAAAACACCCTGGGAAAAAATACTCTTCACACCACAGACTTCAGTTTTATCTCTTATGCCCATGACCTCAATTTGAAATACAATCAGTTTGCCAATAATCACCTGATATCACATGATAGAAGCTGGGCTTTATCTCTCTTCTCCAGACTGAAAAAATACAATTAGTAGATGAGTCAACTACTGTTCTAGCTTATTTAGGTATTTGTAAAGAGGCGTTTTTTATCAATGAGGGCCATAGGTGAAGCAGATTTTAGACTACTGAAGTCCTGGTGTGTTTTTCATGGGAAATTGAAAGGCAGCAAGTATTGGTCTACTCAGTCTCAAGTTATCTCCCAGTTTCTGAAATATCTCATAATAGTACCTATACAGGAATACAGATAGAAACTAATTCAATGAAATATATTTGATTATTTGGTTAAAATATAGGTTATTAATCAACTAAATTATTTTAAGATGTTGATGGTTTCTCTTTTTAAAAAAATTACACAATTTTTTTACAAATGATTTTCCGTAGGACATCCATGATCTACAGGTAACCAAGAAAGATGCGGCAATTCTGGGCCACTTAGTCTGTGATCTTGGTGCAGACTACATCGCAGCATCCGGCAACAATTTTCTGACGCAGTTAAATCAGTGCCAGTCTTTCACACCCGAACAAATCAAAGCAATCCAAGCTCTCCTCAGCAGTGGAAGAACCTCCTTTGGGTAGGATCACACTGCAGGTTTTGTTTTTGCTCTTTTGGAGTTTTCTGAATTCTCCTGAAAAGAAAACTGGTTGTCGGAAATCTGTTTGGATTGCCACTGAACCTAATTCATTTGCATTTGCTAGTGCAAACAGCATTTCAAAGCTAGAATTGTGGGGTTTTGACTGGAAATGTTCATCATGAAATGTTATATTTGCAGCAAAAGCTAGGTTCCCTAAGAGGAAGCCATGCCCAACATAGATACAGAGTCAGTTTATAGAATAATACCTAAAAAGCCGAGTTAGGCTATTCCCATGTCACTTACTGGCAGAAGCTTTCCAGGTTTTCAGACAGGAGTCATTCCTCACCCTTCCTGAAGATGCCAGGGTTTGAACGCAGATGCTCCACCACTAAGCTACAGCCCATAAATTTCACAGCTTCAAAAGCCATGCTCTGTAGCGGAAAGGTGGGTTTTGCCTAAGAAACCTGAATCTCACACAAATGAAAAGCAACCACCAATTTACACAGTACAGGTTTCATTTCACCATGGAATAAATTTTTACACATGCAGAAATGGATTTGGAGGGAGTAACTATGATCTTGCAATGTCGCACAGGTTCTGCATCTGAAACCAAGGCTTTAAATGACAAATACTTGATGTTGGATCCTTTTGGTTTAGTGCTTGCAAAATGCAAGTGTGCAACATTTGAATGTATTTTTTTTCCTTTTCATCTTTAGTGGTATTGCAGTATTCCATCAGGTTATACTGCACCAGCAGGAGTAAGTGAGGGAGAGCAGCAGTGCTGCGAGGTTGGGGGAGCATGTCTTGGTGGTGTCCTTCAGGTGTCCCAATAATACCAACCTAAAGCTTCCCTGATCTCACTGCTGCCTCACCCAGCAAATGCAGCACCAGTGGCAGGAGGGCAGTGCCCCTGCTGCCTTGTCCTCCTTGTGTTCTGCAGCTGCTCAATGCCTAAAGAAGGAGAAATTATATTCTAAATGTCACAGACATTGCTTCTGATTGGAACATCCTTTAAACTCTCTCCGTGAAACTCATGCCCCTACTTCAGAGTTCCATGGTGTTGATATGTAGCTTGCTGATAAGTTCCCATTCCCTTTCTTTCCACTCAGGCTTCCTTCAACATGGTCAAGTTCTACCCTGGAAGAACTGAGTGGTTTGCTCCCTATATTTGATCACAGCATCCTACAAAGTATTCCTGCAGTAAGTGTCTCCCCACCCCCCATAATCAAGGGGAAGCAGAAGGGTATTTAAGTCTCTGTTGAAGTGCTGTGCTCTGGGTTATGTTTGTTTGCCAGGAAAAAAAGGATGGGGAAATTGTAAGTGGGAATTATTGTGGACCTCACTTATCCTTGTCACAAATGTCATAAATTGAACTAAAGCAGCCTAGCCTCTTCAAGTCTTTATCTCCACAACTTCTTGTTCTACCCTATTTTCAAATTCAACTTATATACAGTCTCTCTTCTAACCTTTAGTCAAATGTAAGGAGAGTGGACACCTTGTTAAATTTCTGTTTCCCCTTAATTGTCAAGCTCCTAGTCAAAAATGTTGTGCAAAACCTCCTGAGCAAAACACCCCCTTGTAAACTTTTGACCCTCCTGTGCAAAACTTCCGACTGCAAACCTTTATCCTTCCCGTGCAGGAAACTGCTAAAGCAAAAACCAGCTGATATATAACAACCAACCAGAACACAAAATTTTCATTAATTTCCACCTGTGTTCCATTTTCCATCACTAGTGCTGCCACTGAAGTTCTGTAAATGAGAGCAGGCAAGGGGAAGGTCACATCTCATGATTCTTCATCAGTAACCATCTTTCATACAATGGGTCTTGTGTTTGCTGTGACTTTATACTGAACTGTTTGTAACTGCTTTGTGCAATGATGACTTTGTTAGCCATCTTGAAAGGTAAGGTGGGATAAACCTAACATCATCACCATTTGCATATTATTTGCTGCGGTATTCTGTTCTGAAAAATAACCATCTTGGTCATGCTACCAAACCCCATATCCAGGAGAAGGAAAGGAATCTATGCATTCAGTTTAACTAATTGAGAATCGTATAGATTTTCTAGATTTTACATCCTTCACCACATGGGTGTTTCTTTTTCCTTTTGCAGAATGTATTAAAGCCATGGCTGAAAGACTTCTTACACCGTACCCATATGCCAACAGAACAGCTGGCATCTGTTGTGAAAAACCTCCACCCCTCCAGGCAGAAACGTAATTCAGGTATACAGCAACACTGCTTTTAAGCCTGGAGCTATTCTCTGGTAGCATTGAGGCCAATTCACACAAACAGCAGATCCCATTATAAAGCTGTTACATAGGAAACACAGAAAGTTGCATTATACTGAGACAGGCTATTGGTCCATCTAGTTCAGTATTGTTTATACTAACTACCAGTGGCTCTCCAGGATTTCAGGGAGGAACTTTTTGCACCCATCCCTGAAGACACCAGAAATGGACCCTGGATATATGTGAAACAGATGCTGTTTATATTGCCAGACTTTCGATTGCCGCTTCAGTTTGCAGTGAGGGGATTAGAGGGGGCATTCCTGAAGTCTTCTCCATATGAACAGAAACTCCTGGTAGGGATGAGGGAGAAATTAAATTCAGTTTGCATCTAAAGGCAAATCTACCTAATTCACTCTTTCCAAAACAACACACAAAGTGAAACATAGCCACCCTTCAAAATTCAGACTTCCCTAAATTTTGCAATGCAGCAAGCTGGTCCCAAGCTATTAAGGGCTTGATATACTAACAGTAGCACCTTGAACTTTGCCTGGTAACAAGTCAGCAGCCAGCGCAAATCTCTGAGCAGACAGGATCTCACTCCCACCAGCAGCTGTGTTGTAGCATACGGCACTAACTGCAGCTTCCATATCAAGCACAAGGGAAGCCCCGCATAGAGTTCATTGCAGTAATCCAACCTTAAATTACTTGCATAGTTAATACAGGTCACAGAATTTAGCCTCTCTCCAAATACGTATTTAGCAGAGAGCACCCTACAGCACATAGTCTGCACTCCCTGGTTCAGAGGCACTATGCTTCTGAATCACTTGTGGCTGAGGAGCAAGAGGGGTGGACCTAAACAGACAGAACTTTGATAGGATCCAGCAGGGCTCTTCTGAAGTTCTTGCATCCACACTGGCTTGTCAGTTGTGCAAGTTCTTCAACCCTAGTTAACTATTGAGTCTTGCCTTCCCAGGATGCCCAGCTGATAAGACCATAACACAGGAGGTGCTTGATGATGAACTGATGCCTCTTTATTACGATAACGAGGAATTACGCCAGTGCTTGGGTGACGCAACCCTGCAGGCCAATTTCAACAAGATCTCAAGTTATGCTTTCACTGAGGAGCAGTTGATGGTGCTTAAAGAGAAGCTGGACCGGGTAATCGATGTTTTGGCTTTCATAGTTTGCTAAGAGGGGCATGGAACCGGGGCTTGAGTTCAGCCATTGCTCATCTGAGACTGCAGGCAAAGGAGAGTGGTCCAAGCAGGTCAATAGATTGAGGCCTTGCATTCTCTCTGTCTCTCTCTCTGTCTCTTTCACTCTGCCCCCACTCATTCATTGAGGTGAATGAGTCACTGCCCCACCAATCTCAGCCTGCCCTCAGCAAGCCCTCTCCCTGCCTGTCTCCTGACTAGGGAGGAAAAGTGGCACCGATTCCCTTTCCTTCCCCGTCTACCAGCTCTACCTGGTACGCCAGCCGAGACCCTACCTGCCTGGCACTGTCTCGCCAGATTGGTGCATGCTCTGGTTATCTCCCACTTGGACTACTGCAATGCGCTCTACGTAGGGCTACCTTTGAAGGTGACCCGGAAACTGCAACTAATCCAGAATGCAGCAGCTAGACTGGTGACCGGGAGTGGCTGCCAGTACCATAATACAACAGTCCTAAAGGATCTTCACTGGCTCCCAGTGCATTTCCGATCACAATTAAAAGTGTTGGTGCTGACCTTTAAAGCCCTAAATGGCCTTGGCTCAGTATACCTGAAGGAGTGTCTCCACCCCCATTGCTCAGCCCAGACAATGAGGTTCTCCTCCAAGTGTCTTCTTCTGGTTCCCTCACTGTGAAAAGTGATGCTACAGGGAACCAGGAAGAGAGCCTTCTCGGCAGTGGCACTTGCCCCGTGGAACACCCTCCCATCAGATGGCAAGGAAATAAACAACTATCTGACTTTTAGAAGACATCTGAAGGCAGCCCTGTTTAGGGAAGTTTTAAATGTTTAGTGTTTTATCATGTTTTTACTATTCTGCTGCGAGCCACCCAGAGTGGCTAGGGAATCCTAGCCAGATGGGTGGGCTATAAATAATAAATTGTTGCTGTTGTTGTTCCACCCTGCCTTAGTCTCATGCAGCCTTGTTTCTGTTATGCTCCAGTTCGTCCTCTGTGAAATGCCATGTTGTTTGCCTTGCTGTCATGAAATTATGTAACTAATGTAATATAAATAGTTAATTGTGTAAGTTAGGTTGTCAGTATGTTATTTCACCCCATTAATTCAGTGCAAAGGAAAGATAATGCAAATTGCGGGGGGGGGGGGCATAATCAGTTATGTGTTGTTTGTATATTGAAAACTGTAACACCAGCAAATATCGATTGAATTCAGTTGATTTTTTGTTCTGCACACGGGTTGAAAAAGTGAACACCAGCCATTTCCTCTCCCCTTTTCTTCGTCATCAGAATTTCCTAACATTCCTGCTTCTTACTTCCAACTCATGGGGGGGTGACTCTGCCTGTCATGGCCTCTGGAGTTGCCTATTGTTGATCTTCTCTGCATTCCTTCCCTCCAATCCTGAAGGGCACCAGCTCTCTCACTCTCTTGTTCTCTCTCTGTATCTCTCTCTGTATCTCTCTCTCTCTCTCTCTCTCTCTCTCACACACACACACACACACACACAAACAAACAAACACAATAAGGCAATCTGTCTCCTGATGGATGTGTGCTCTGAGAAAGGGCAAGAGGTGCTCCAGTAGCATTCACAAACACTGATTTTTATTTTGCAATCCCTACAGATTTATCCTGATGGGTATCCCGATTCGGTTATCAATAGCATGGGAAGCCTCCTCAGCCTAATGACTCCTGAGGATATTAAGAAATGGAAGCTCAACTCGCCAGACACCCTTGTTGCTTTGCTGGACAACGCTCCCGATGATGAAGTGGTAACGTCAGCCTTAAAAGCACAGCCTCCCCTAATTTACTTCTTCCCCTCGTTTTCCAAACTAGAAGTTTATTTTGATTTTGTGAATCGCTTCCTAGAAGCAAAATATGAGGAAACATTTTGCATGCGTAAAGAGGTGCATTTGGTTGCAAAGTTTTAGAGGGACGGCGCTAAAATACACAGTGGTTATGCTTCCTCTGTTCTCCTCTGCTTTTTTAACAGGTGGTAAAGTTAATGAGTAGGTGGCGCTGTGGTCTAAACCACTGAGCCTAGGGCTTGCCGATTGGAAGGTTGGCGGTTCGAATCCCTGCACCGGGGTGAGCTCCCGTTGCTCGGTCTCCACTCCTGCCAACCTAGCAGTTTGAAAGCACGCCAAAAAGTACAAGTAAATAAATAGGTACCGCTCCGGCGGGAAGGTAAACGGTGTTTCCTTGTACTGCTCTGGTTTCGGTGTTCCGTTGCACCAGAAGCGGCTTAGTCATGCTGGCCACATGACCCGGAAAAACTGTCTGCGGACAAACACCAGCTCCCTCGGCCTGTAAAGCAAGATGAGTGCCACAACTCCAGCGTCGTTTGCGACTGGACTTAACTGTCAGAGGTCCTTTACCTTTTTAAAGTTAATGCCCACCCCAGTGCATTTTGGTGCCTCAGACCAGATTTCTGAATATTCAGAATACATAAAACGTTGATAGAATGAGCCACAATGTGGAGACAGCACAGAGCATTCATAAGACTAGTTCAGCCGACCAAAATCCACTGGAAAAGTCATAGAAGTTGGCTTATAACATGTCGGACAACTGAGCCACCCTACTTCAATATTGCCTGATTGGCAGCAGATCTCCAGAGTTACAGACAAATGACATTCCCAGTCCTACCTGGGACCTTCTGCATGCAAAGCAGGTGCTTTAGCACTGGGCTATGGCTATTTTACCTGAAAGCCACCTGAGTCCCTGTCTGGGGGAAAGGTGGGATATAAATAAATATAATAATAATAATAGCTCTTCCCCCAAAATAGATACATTTGTAGAATGGCCCTGAAACCCATTGTTTTCAAAGGTTGCTCAGGCTTGGGCAGGTCTCTGCATTGGGGGTGCATGGCCATTGTGTGAGACCCCTGAGAATGTTTCCTTTTGAGACAAGGGTAGAAATGGTCAAAATAGTAAAAGGTCAAAATAGTATACTTAGCTGAATTTTGGCTAGTTCATTAAGCAGTGTCTTGGCTTTGCTCATATAAGATGTACTTATATGGAAATTATTGCTTTTAGGCCAGGGAGATTATTCAGCAATATGGCAAGTCCGGAGGCCAGTTTGATGCCACAGCTCTGGATGCTGTTGGGGGACGTTACATGTGCTCCTTGACCCAAGGCCAGCTTAAAACGATCACAGAGAATGCTATCAAGTGAGTAAACTCCTTTAACACTCTTCATCTCTTAGCAAAAAAAGAGGTCCACTTTCCGCTTAGCAAATGGCTTCTCCGCAAAGAATACCAGGAACTGTAGTGAGGAGAGTTGTTAAGAGACCCGTAGTCCTCTCACGGTGCTACAATTCTCGAAGTTCCTTGGGAAGGTTATACCACTCTGGGAATTGTAGCTCTGGGAGGTGGAATAGTGTTCCCCTAACATCTCTCAGCACCCTTAACAAACTACATCTCCCAGGATTCTTTGGGTGAAGCCATGACTGTTAAAGTGGTATCACAGCATTTTAAATGTATTGTCAAGTACGGGAGTTCCCCTCTCCCTTCTGGTAGTTCAATGATAAGAATTAATGAGCATTTGGTAGATTTATAGTGCTTTTATTACAGCATTATGCTGCAAGCACAAACAGGCAACCCTCCTCAAGGATATCAGTTGCCTACTCTGACTCCTCCCCACTTCCGCAGCAAGAAGTACACCAACGAGAATTTCCTCTCCCCCCACCGTGTCTCCTTTGTTCTCTGACATGCTTGGATCTCCGAGTTCAGGGAGGGAGGAGGGTCTCCCCCACTCTTGATTGATGTATCGCCCAGCTGCTCCCTCCCTTCTGGTTGCTTAGCTACTATCTCATAGCTGGGTAGCTCCTCTCTCAACTGAGCAGCTTCTGTGTCTGTCTGTCTGTCTGTCTGTCTGTCTGTCTCTCTGCTTCTGGAAATGCTGGAAGCGGGGGGTGTGTGCAAATATCCCCCCTCCTCTTCTGTTAGGAGCTAATCTCCCTGTGATTGCATTCCCCAGTCTTCCGATCCAGACCAGCCCCTGACATGTATAGTGTGCAGGTGGGATGGTAATGGGAGAGGCAGAATCCAGGGATACAACTTGATTATTAAGATCCTGGGCTTTGTGGTCTTCCAGCGTGGGCCTTTAGGTTATGTGCATTACTTCAGTTTTATAGCACACAATTTCTCTTCACATATTGTATTTTATTCTGTTACAATTTGAATCTCATAGAATTCCAATCGTAATACAATATGGGAAATAAAAGAAGCAAATAAAGTACAATTAAAATTCAATATGCATATTCAGTGTAATGGATGTGCAGTCTCCTGTCTTCACAAATCCACAAACATAAAGTGCAATGGTGTGGCCTCGGGCCAATCCCTGCCTCTCAGCCTAAACTACCTCACAGGGTTGTTGTGGGGATTAAATCAGCCCCACCCTGGGGTCCTTGGAGAAAAAGGTGGGATATTAATGAAATAATATATAAACAAAATACTGGTGACCCATGGACCACAGTTTGGGGGGCCTTGGTGGTTTATAAACAGAAGTTGGATGGCTGTTTGTCAGAGATTCTTTTGCTGTGATTCCTGCAATGGAGGGGTTGGACTAGATGACCCTTGGCATCCGTTCCAACCCTAGAATTCTATGGTTCCATGACTGTATGATCTAGTGAGCTCAGCTCTTGGACCCCTTCATTCCAGTGAATAATAAGCAAAGCTGAGAGACTCGGTCACCTCTTCTTTCCTCTCCCTTCTTGCCTTTCTTGACAGGAGTGCCAAGACCCTCAACATTGGTGGGTGTCCTCAGACTACCAAGGATATCCTGTACCCAAAAGCCAAGAGGGCTTACTCTGACCGACACAACGAGTTCCCTGCTTACTATAACCTCATCAAGCCGTACCTGGGTAAGTCACAGCATCATTTTCGGAAACACCTTTGCAGTCTAGGATGAGCATTGCAGTTTGTTGAAATGCAACTTGAAAGCAGCAGATCAGCTTATGCATTCGATTAAATGGGGTCACTGCCCCACTAACCTCAATCTGCCCTCCCGCCCAACTTCTTACTTAGAGATGGAAGAATCTGTCAATTTAAAACAAATGCACATATTAGGGTATGTGCATAACAGCATAGTGAAAATAACATACAAAGATGCATTAGATTGGAGAAATGTTCTTGCAAGTATGCATATAGTTGTCACAACTGCATGCAACTCTTTATTAGGAGAATTTTGCACTAAAATTTTGCACTAAAATTTTATGACGGTGTTTTGTTTTGTTTTGAATAAAACCCACAAACTGATGCAGAAATGTAGAGAATTTAAGTTTGGAAAAATGAGAAACCAAGAGAACCGAAATTGGTATATTTGTCCATCCCTAGTCTTGAACACTACCATTATGTCTGGTTTGGATCAAATTTTATTTCCTCACCATCCCTATTTGCAGGACTGAGGAAATTAAAACAATGTTGTGGGTTTCATGGGGGTCGGTCTGGATGATACCCTGAGCTCCTTCCAATTCATTGGGTGCTGTACTCAGTGAGGGTTAGAATCTAAGAGCAGAGGTTGCTGGCCTGGTCAGACAAGTTTATTTGTAAGACGGCGACCTTAGCCGGCCACTTAAGAGCATCCCAGTAGAACGAGCTGGGTTGCAGGAGCTACAACTAAGTGATAGCGCCCTACAGGCTAATAGGTGGGCCTTTCCTCCAACCCCTTCACCTAGCTGCTAGGCAGGAAAACAAGAGCCATAGTAGCTGGACTGGAAACAGGCTAGCAGCTGGAGACTCAGAGACATGCTTGCTCTGTGCTGGATCCAAAGCTGGGACAACTGGAGAAGTTAAAGACACTGAAGAGTTGGGGACTTTCCACATGTAAAGAGTTGCCTTTATTAGGGAACTTTGCAATTGAGTTCTAAACATAACTAAAAGTTCTCTTTCACTGACTCAAGAAAGGTTGGCAATGTATAACCATCAAGTTTTCACCAAGTTTTCTTCTTACAGGAGGTGCTCCGGGTGAGGATCTGAGGGCGCTCAGCAAAAATAATGTCAACATGGACATCAACACTTTCAAGGGCTTGCGAAAGGACGCCGTGATGGTGAGTGGGATAACGCCGTAGGGCTGAAGATGACAGGGCTGGCCTGCCCATGAGGCAAGGTGAGGCAGTTGCCTCAGACAGCAGATACGGCTGGCGGCCATCTCCTCCACACGCTGCCTCCTCCTCCATACCCACCACCACCTAGTACAAGTCATTTTATTACAGTCAATGACCAGTATCAAGGCAAATACACCAATTACAAAATTTAAAAACTCAAGACAAAATCAGATGATGTAAAATCACATATACATAAAAAAGGCAGTTCTAGGTCACCATTTATCAGTCAGAAAGGAAACCTTCTGACCTAGGAATGTCCATTGGTTGGTACATTACACTAATCCTGGGTGCTAATCATTGTACGTCGTATTTTTATTGCTGCTGCACAAAACTTGGCCACCTTGAATGTTATAACAGGATTAATAGCTAGGATGTTAAGACAATAGCTAGGATAATATCTCTGGCCTCCTTTTGCTCCTGCCTTCAGCACAGAGTGGTTGTGGCTTCAGGGGAGGAGGCAACAGTGAGGGAGGGCTGTGGAAGAAGAGGGGGGGCTGTGGAAGATGAGGGAGAGGTGGGGGTGGTATTTTCTGTTTCTCCTGAAGCGGCAAAACATCCTGGGCTGGCTGTGGAAAGCGACCTTCAGAAAGAACATCAAAATAAAATGAAATGAAATTTATCAGAGCACAATTCAGTCTTTGACTGGGCTTCTCTATCAGTCCCTGGGGGATTTCTATAGATCACACCCCAGCCTTCTCCTGTAACTGTACCGGGAGTGGTGTTGCTAACAAACTTGCACCTACAGCAACAATTGTAGCACTTTGGAAGTTCCTCTCAGTGAACGAAAGAGAGAGAAAGAGTGGGCCATATGCACATACACACATATCCTTTGCCGCTTACATTCGCAGTTGGAGCTTTTGAATCCCAGCAGGGTAGACATTGCCTGTAACCATCTCCCTTTGACTCATTTCACAGCAACTAAAACCCACCGATGTCAAACAATTGCTGGGGATGAATGTAGCAGAGCTGAAGACTCAAGAGAACGATCCCTTCGTAAGAGACTGGATCGTGAAGCAGAAGCAGTCTGAGCTGGACACCCTGGGCCTTGGGCTCCGAGGGGGGATCCCTGATGGATACATTGTTGTGCCTGACGAAGAAAAGAAACGTAAGAAACGGGGGGCATTTGCTTTCGAGGGGGTTTAAATTCCAGTGATGTAGGAGGTAAATGATCCGCAACTATAATAAAAGCTCTCCAGCTTGAGAATCAGTATATAGGAATTATGAAAATGTCTCCAGGTGTCTTTTTTGTGTATACAGTGGTACCTCTGGATACGAACTTAATTCGTTCCGGAGGTCCATTCTTAACCTGAAACTGTTCTTAACCTGAGGTACCACTTTAGCTAATGGGGCCTCCCGCTGCCGCCGCACCGCCACCATGCGATTTCCGTTCTCATCCTGGGGCAAAGTTCTCAACCCGAGGTACTACTTCCGGGTTAGCAGAGTCTGTAACCCGAGGTGTTTGTAATCCGAGGTACCACTGTACAGATATATGTACTACTTTATTTATTCATCATTTATTTATTTTTGCAATCTGCCCTTCCTATAAGGAGTTCAGGCAGTGCACATTCCCTGCCCTGCCCCCACTTTAATTGCACAACAACCCAGTAAGGTAGTGACTAGCCCAAAACCACCACAGAGTTAGATGGGATCCCAAAGGTTATCTAATTCAAACCACTGCGAAAGCATCCCTGATCAATGGCCATCCAGGTTCTGTTTAAAAACTTCTTACAGAGGAGAACTGACCACTTCCCAAGAGAGTCACTTCCACTGTCAACCAACTAAAACTGTTGGGAAATTCTTCCTTAAGTTTAGCCAAAAATACCCTCTCTGCCCCATTGATTTTTTTTGTACTTTAAACCCATTGGTTTGAGTCCAACTCTGTGGAGCAACAAAAAGCTATTTTGCTCCACCATCACTATGACTGACAACTCTTCTGAATGTTTGGGGATGGCTGCCATATCGCCTCTTAATCCTGTCTTCTCCAAGTGTACACACCATGCACTTAAATCTCATTTAAATCAGATTGCCTCTCTCAAAAACGCATGCGTACTGCTGTTTGTTCAGGGTGCTGGGAATTGTAGCTCTGTGGGTGGGGGTACGCTACAGTTCCTAGGATTCTTTGGGTGGGAGCCATGTGCTTCAAATGTATGACTTGTCTCCCGGAGACAAGGGCTATTGATTAATACTAGCCATGATGGTTGTGCTCTACCACCATGGTTCTGAACACCAGTTACTGGAAGCTGCGGGAGGGGAAAGTTGCTGTTGCACTCAGAGGTCCTGTTTGTGGGCTACACAATGAGGCATCTGGTTGGGCCCATGGCAACAGGATGCTGGACTAGACAGGGCATTGGCCTGATCCAGCAGGCTCTTCTTAGCTTCCTGTGCCTGTCCCCTTCTGCTTCAGAGTTCTCACCCTTTCTCTGAAAGATGAGGAATCTGACTACAGAGTCATAACAATGTTTCTTGTTTCTCCAGAGACCTCCGGAGCGCCCCGTGCCGCCACCATTGCCCATCTCCTGCACCTCTTCGCTGCGTTCCTCCTGACACTGTTGCTGGCTTCTTTCCTTTCATGAAACTCTCCTGCTCTAATCAAAAAACGGGCAATGTGGTAATGATGATCGATCTCATTTTGCTGCCATTTTCTATCAACTTTCAACTTTGCCTGCGGTGGGAAGAACAAGAATACCCTTAGGGAAGTGGGTGAAGGAGATTATTTTAGGAAATCAAGCGGAATCCTTTCCGGAAGTCCATTCGACTTCCAAAACATTCGGAAGCTGCGTTGGATGTTTGGGTTCCAAAGACCGTTCGCAAACCGGAACACTCACTTCCGGGTTTGCAGCTTTCGGGAGCCAAAACGTTTGACTCGCAAGGTGTTCGGGATCCAAGGTGCAACTGTGTGTGTGTATATATATACAGACATACATATATAGATATGAAGGCCACCCTGGGATATTAGGGTAAAGGATGGGTTTAAGTAATAATAATAACAATATGTAGAATGCTTCATTCATGCAGCAATATCATTTGCAAAGTAGGAGCTTCATAGCCTGAGCTATGATGAGACACCAGGATAAATTATGCAAATAACGTAGAATTAGCTGCTTTTGTCCAACTTACATGGTTTGTTTCTGTAAGCTATAGGGGGTGCAGCAAGGAGCAACCTTGAGCTCTAAAGCACCACCTTCTGAAGTGCCGGCTGCTCATCCCACACAGTCCCTGGGCTTTAAGCTTAACCTAGCAATGCCCAAATATTTTCAAGCAGAAAGGCCACAGCTCAGTGGGTAGAGTGGGTGATTGGCACACAGAAGATCCCAGGTTCAATGGCACTTCCAAGCAAGGCTAGTAGAGAACCACGCCTGAAATCCTGGGGAGCTGCTGCCAGTCAGTGCAGAGAATAATGAGTTAGTTGGACCAGTAGTCTGACCTAAGTTCCTCTGCCTTTGACAAACAGGGAAGGGTTGGGAATTAAATCTGCAGTCCTTGGGATTTTGTGCAACACAGAGTTGCATACTTCTCACTTTCTCTGAGCTCGAAAGAAACTTCAGGAGCAGGTTTAGAGGGTTGCTTTTCTTTCAGAGGAGAGAGTACGGATGTGTTGTGTTGAGGTTTGAGCTAGATGAATTTGTCGGTTTCCATTTCCTCCCTCTGTTTCTCATTCTTCCAGTCTTAAGTTGAGTTTATCACATTTCCAGTATTCCAATATTTCAGAATTTAGTTTGCTTGCAAAAATATACTATGAGAAATGCAGTTTCACCTAATATGGGGAAGGATCACAGCTCAATTGTAGAGCATCTGCTTTGCATGCAGAAGGCACCAGGTTGAACCCCATGGTATCTCCAGATGGGGATGGGCTGGGAAAGACTCCCTGCTTAAAACCCTGGAGAGATACTGCCAGTCAGTGTGGACAATACTGAGCTAGATGAACCAGTGGTCCAACTCAGTATCAGGTAGCTTCCTGTGTAATATGATGCACGCTGGTTTGTTATTTCACTTATTTGTTTGGGGAACTAAATTCAGAGCAGTAGCAAATTTTGAAACCTAGCTTTGTTTCCGTTCACATCCAGCTTCAGGAAGTGTGAATTGATTTCAGTTTATTAACAGAGAGAAGAGATAGAAAGGAAGTAGGCAACTCCAAGCATTATCAGCATCCTAAAAATCAGCAACAACCCATTATTTTCCGCAAGGCTGCTTCTGCCCAGTTAACTCCAGTGACGTGAAGTCTGCTTTTCTTGCCAAACCTGCCTTTTTCAGTCCTCTTTCCCCATTGCAGATAAAGAGAACCTCCATGCTTAATGGACACCATTAATGGACATTGGTGTCCATTAAGCAAAAATCCCCTTTAGCTACCAAGAAAGATAAAACTTTCCATAATAGGCCAATGAGTCCAGGGCCAGCCCCAAACATTTTGAAACCTGAGGCAAAACAAAAAATGGTGCTCCCCTCTCCACCGGGGAAGAAGATGGGAGTGAAGATTGACATCAGGAACAAAGGAGAACTAAAGTTCTATATCGGGATCCACTGCCCCTCTGAATCCTGCCGCCTGAGGCAGTTGCCTCAATTTACCTCATGGGTGGGTCGGCCCTGAATGAGTCCATAGGATTTCCTAATGCCACACACAATCCTTGCAGTGTGATTGTTGATGCACAGAATGCACGTTATGCAGTCATATGATCAATCAGCTGACCAGAAGTGCCTTCACCACAGCAGACACCCAGAAGTCTCCAGAAATGTCATAGTCAGTCCAGCTAACCAAGAGAGTAAAGGGAAATGCTCTGGCTGGAACTGTCTTGGGCCATGAAGAAGAACCTGCTGAGCTCAAGACTTCTTTCTAACCAGGGGGAAGACACCAGTCTGCTGACTGGGCCCGTCACTCTGCACCAACTGGGTGAGCAAGTGAGATGGACTTGAAAGGCATTGTTGCAGCCTTCTGGACAAGCATTGCAAGCTGATTCTAGCCCCAGGAAGAGAGGGGCTTACGTCAGTCTAGCAGTGGAGGCTTCTCTTGAGGACTAGGTGCCTGCTTGCTTCGTAAATTGTTTGCTGGGAAAATGTGAAAGGGCTGCAACTCAAAGGCAGGCGGGTTGGGGATCAGTGTTAGAAAAGGGTAAGGCAATAACAGAAAATCCGCTGGGGAAAGCTAAGGACACCCGATGCTATATAACCTGTTCTTTTGACTCATATAAATGGCTTATATGTATTGTGCAAAATAAACATCTGGTCATCCTCTCTAATATGGCTGCTGTGTCTTTGGCATTCCTGGTGTAAGATGTCACACTGACTTCTAAAACAGGGCTGGGGAACCTCAGGTACAGGGTCACATGTGTGCGTCCCCTACCTCATGCCTCTCTACATGGACCTCAGGATTCTCCAAGCCTCCCCAGACCACACCCCCTCTCCCTAGGCCACACCCACCAGCACCCCTGCCTAACACCCTCCAGTGCTCTAGCATGACTGGGATGTCTCCTTGAACTCTGATAATGCCCTTGCTTGCCTCGATGGAGGAAAGAGAGAGTGGGTGTGTGGGTGTGTCGAATGTAGCCTACTCTACAAAGGGTCATATCCACCACTGTGCCCACTTTTTCTTCTGGCCTGCCCACGTTTTGCTGCTCATCTTAGCCCCTTCCTCACTGCCTGTGTTGGAGTTGTCTTTTGGGAACTCCCTTAAAAGGAGGAACGGAGAACCTGCAGCACTCTAGAAGCTGTCAAAATATAATGCAGAGGTATAACTTAACCTAGGAGGAACATAATTCTGCATTTTATAATTCTTTTTACCCCCCCCCCCACCTTCACTCTAATTTTAGCCTCTAAGTGTTGTTGTTGTTAAAGTTCATTTGGGCCTCACTGTGCATAGTTGTGTAGACATTGTGTCAAAAACTGTGTTGATAAACGCATTCCGTTTATTTCCCCCACTCTCCAGCCCTTCTGGCTCCCACCCCAGCATTCCAAAGGGGGGGGATGTGTAAACATCAAAGCCGGTCAAAATTAAAACCAATGTTTTAATTTATTTTTTAACACGTTATTGAAATTAAACAGAAAGCAGAAAGCAACTTGGCGACATTAAGGAACTTGAACAATTTAGGAGGGAGAGGGGAAACAGCTGGACTTTTTTAAGATCAATGAGCATGAGATTTAGAGAGGTATACAATGGAGTCTGGAAGTTATATCAATTAAGAGCTTCTGGTGAGCTTTCCATTACTTCTATCAGAACCTAAAACTCTTTCAGTGGTAAAGAGGGAGGGGTGATCTCTGTCATTTTGGATTCCATCAGTTTCTTGTTTTTCTAATCAAGTTCTGTTCCCCACACTTCCATATCAGTTTGCAATTATTTTTTCAGCATTGTAATATTAATTTATCTGAACATACACATTTTTGCAAAGCAATTTCCCCCTTACATTTTCACGTGTTATTTTTTGATAATATATGCATTTTTATTCACACTTTACCCTTGTTTATGCATCGTTGTACATATTACTTGGAAAACTGCTTTGCAAGATCTGGAAAGGTGAATTCCAAAGGATGGCTGAGTTTCCGTTCGCGTATTGTTTTGCAAAATGCAAAGTAAGTGGCTTCATCTTTAAATGCAAACTGAATCACATTTGTCTCCCATTCTTCAATGTGACTAATGTCACATCTGGATCATGGCAGTTTTGAATAAGGACACACTCAATATTCCCACCTTCTGAATTCAGCAGTTGGGCAGAAATCTATTGTAGTTTTTATCAGCCACTGTAAGTTTCTCAAGCTTATGGTTTTGGTGACTGTTCCCTGAAACTTTGGCCAACATGCTACAGCCAAGTCCAATGTAAATACCTATTGCTAATACGCAATATAGCACAAAATATACAGAGTTCTTATTTAGGGTTAACATAGGATTAAGATGCCTCCTTCCTTTCAAGGTAGTGCCTCTGCTGCACAATAATCAACTTTCCCCAACATTCAAGACACTGGATGCTTTCAAACAGTTTCTGTTTTCGGATGAGGTTCAGTCACATGCCAGAAAATTCAGGTTGTGTAATTATAGATGGATGGGACTCAGACCTTGTGCTGTAGGCTGCCCACAAAGGGAAGGAAGAACTGAGTAGGGACATATCAATTTGAGTTCTCTCAGTTCTCATTTTTTCAATCTTAAATTAAATCGTCCACATTTCTACAAAAATTTGCCACTTTTTTTAAACTAATGTACTCTTTGTGCATTTATCCTAATAAACACATTTTTCTCTGCAGCTTTGACTCAAGCACATGTTTTGCAAGCAATTTTGCATTTTTAACGTTAGTTTCATTTTAATGCACAATTCTCCAAAATATATGCATTTTTGTAAACATGAGTCGGTTGGAGCACTAGATTGCAAAATTCAGAGAAGTGCAAATTTCAAAGGATGGCTGTGTTTCAGTTTTTGCATTGATTCAGAAAGTGCAGACTAAGTAGGTTTGCCTTTAAATGTGAACTGAATGAAACAGAACTGGGTCTCTGAATAGAACAGCCTGGCCTCTTAACCAGCACAAGCAGGGCCTGGGTGATACAGGAGTCCACTCTCCACATGTGATTTGCAGCAACTGGTATTCAGAGGCAGACTGTCTCCAACCGTGGAAGCAGAAGACAGCCATCATGACTAGTAGCCAAGGGGCAGAGAAAGCGGTTTGCTTTCTGCTAGGTTCTGAACTTGTCAAGCTGACTGATGGATGGGCTGAGCAAAGCCAGTCTTCTTGCTTCCCCTTGCTCGGAACCAACCTGAGGTGCTGATGGTGCAGTCCTAGTTACTAACACAGGCCCAGAAAGGAATTCAGGAGTACAGCTGTTCCAGGAGGCTCAACAGACCAGGATCCAGCATGCACAGAGGACAGGAAAGATGGTGCTGGATCTCAGCACTACCTTGAGTGTGGAAGTGTCACCATAACAAAATGAGGGTAGAGAGAAACACAGCAGCTTTGCAGCAGGCAAAATTTGCATTAGGCACAGGGCAGTTACTATGCACATAAAAGTCAGAAGAGACCCACAGTCCAGAGAGCATTGGCGTTTGATCCATGGGTTCCAAATGGCTCCCCTTGTAGAACTTCAAAGCTCTTGCCTTTGCCGTTCCCAGTTACTGTCGGGAGGTGCAAGGAAGCAACAATACTCTCAAAGAAGCCTCCTCTGAAGTGGGATTCCAACCACAAGGGACAATGTCAGAAGAAGACAGGTGGAGGTTAAGCTGGAAGATGATCCTGGGTGGAGAAAGCGGAGGAGTAAATCAAATGAGCCACTGTTGTTTTTGCATTCAAGATCCTCAGATTTGCTAGAGGGCTGGAAATTCTACACCATAAATGCCCTTTCCTCACCATGGATTATGCAAAAAATAATGTACAAAATAGAGATCAGATTTCTATAACTTAGGGTTTTGTTCTAAGCTTCAGACACTTTGGAGGAGCCTCCATACCATAGACCCACTAGGCCTTGGAGGGGAACCAAATCCACCTTTTCTGGGCCAAATATCACATATGTAGCCTTAAGGGCTGTTGTTTTCAGAACACAAGAGCTGTTCTGTGAAAGATGATGTACATCAAATTTTGAATGAACTTGAATGCACTTTCTCACCCTCCCCTGCTAATATGCCTGGTGTTGTTAGGTAAGTCTGTTCAGCCACAGCCTTTTCAGTGGGAGGAAAGCTGCCTTGCACCACATCAGACCATCCAGCTCAGCATTGCCTACACTGACTGGCAGTGGCATTCCAGAGTTTTAGGCACTGGACATACTGAGCTCTATCTGGAGATTCCGGGAATAGAACCAGGGACTTTCTGCATACAAAGCAGGTGCTCTACCACTGAGCCATGACCCTTCCTCATAATTTAGAACATTGTTTCCCCCCGATAAGTCAGTCTAGTCCCTTCACAGAGGTCATTCCACCATGAAGGTGCTATTAAGGTAGAGATTCCCTGCCCTTAGACATGATAGATATTTAGCAGATATTTAAATCATAGGCACTTACCACTTAGCGGCTGGAGATTGATGTAGCCATTGGGTGTTGGATGCAATGGTGGTCTCGTTCTCGAAGGTGTTCTGCTGGTGGCTCTCCTTGTGGTTTGAGGTGAGATTCCTGTCTTAGGGGATGTTTCTGGGACATGAACGGTAGTCTTGCTTGAAGCAGTTGACATCGTTTCCTTCATTTTTGTGGCAGCACTGATGGGTGCTGGGGTTGTGGCATTTGGCATGGGCTTAGGTAGTACTGAAGGCCTTTCAGAAGTCGTAGCGGTCATGCCAGGCGTAGTGGAAGTTCCATTGCTGGTACCAACTGTGGTTGCATTTGCACTATAAGTGTGGTTTGTGCTGATGGCAGGTGTGTAGGAAACTGTTGCACTGATGACATTAGTCACATTGGTGACAGAGGTCAGGAGACCTGTATCGTTGATCGTGGTGGTGTCGGAGGCTGGTGTGGTGTTGGTGGCAGCAGTCAGATTGGTCTCCATTGCAGTGGTAGGGAGACTTGTATCATTGATCATGGTGGAGTTGGAGACTGGTGTGGTGTTGGTGGCGGCAGTCAGGTTGGTCTCCATTGCAGTGGTAAGGAGACTTGTATCGTTGATCATGGTGGTGTCAGAGGCTGGTGTGGTGTTGGTGGTGGCAGTCAGGTTTGTGTCCACTGCAGTGGTAGGGAGACTTGTATCATTGATCGTGGTGGAGTTGGAGACTGGTGTGGTGTTGGTGGCGGCAGTCAGGTTGGTCTCCCTTGCAGTGGTAGGGAGACTTGTATCGTTGATCGTGGTGGTGTCAGAGGCTGGTGTGGTGTTGATGGCGGCAGTCAGGTTGTTCTCCATTGCAGTAGTAGGGAGACTTGTATCATTGATTGTGGTGGAGTTGGAGGCTGGTGTGGCGTTGGCAGTCATGTTGATGCCTGTTGCAGAGGTAGGGTCAGGTATTCCACTGACAGTATCATTTGAGGCAGTTGTGACATTGGAGGAGGTAGCCATTATTTTGGTGGAAGCTGCAATGGTGGAGTCTATCGAGATGGTAGGAAAAGTCGTGCTATCAGTTCCGGTGTCGCTGGAATCTGCTGAACTTCTGCCAGAGGTAGTTGTGTTGACATCTCTTGCTGTGGGAGGGGCTGATGTTCCACTGATGGTATCATCTGAAGTAGCTGTGACACTGGATGAGATAGCTGGGACTTGGGTGGAGAAAGCAACTCTGGGATCTATGGCGACCCTTGCGTGGGTGATGTTGGTGGAGACAAAAGAGGTTTCATTGGCCGCAGTGCTGGTTTCAAAGAGTGGTGTTGAAAGGGGTTGCATAGCAGCACTGCTGCTGGAGAACACTGCTGCATTGTCACCAGAGGTCACTGAGTCACTTGTGGCAAATGAGGTTGACCCCGTACTGGGAGCAGTAGGAGGATCAGCTGTTGGAGTGTCAATGGGTGTTGTAGACTCGGAGGCATCTGCTACTGTGATGCTGGTTGCTGTGGAGGACAGAGAGGTCATCCCTCCTCTCAGACCAATCTCAAGAGTGTCCAGCTCAGACTGAAAATGGCTCTTGATCCACAGGGCTACCGAAGGATCACTCTCAACTTCTTTCAAATCAGGCAAATTTACACCAAGCAACCCTTTCACATCCTGGACGCTCAGTTTCTGCAATACATTTGTGATACCTTTGCTCATTCGGGCAGGTCCCTGTGTTTTAATTATGATTTCCCCCAGAAAATGACCTTTCTAGTCTGCTCTTGCTTCTCTCCACTTTAAAAGCATTAGAAATACAACCCTGGGTCTACACTACAAGCCAGCCTCAGTTCCAATACTCTTCAATTATCATAGCATCTCCTATTACAGTTTGATGAGGGTGGCATGAGAATGAGAATCCTCTGTTAGAGACCCTGCACCCCATATCATGGAATTATTCCTCACCCACCCCCTGCAGTATCCCCTGAAAATGATAAATAATGGTTAATTCTGCTTAATTGTCCTTTTAAATGTGTTTGTGGGAGGGGGATTGGTTTGGTTTGTTCTTGTTTTTATTATGTATTTTGTGTTTTTATTTTGTGTTTTTATACTCTGTGAACCACCCTGAGTTCTTAATATGAAGGACAGTACACAAATTTAATTAATAAATAAATAACACTGTAATGTTTTTACGCTTGTAAGAGTCTAGCACAGCCTTCATCAACTTAGTGCCTTCCAGATGTCTTGAGCTACAATTCCCATCAGCCCCAGCCAGGACAGCCTTGTTTTGGACTACAACTCCCATCAGTCCCCAGCCAGCATGGCCATTTTAGATTACAGTTCCCATCAGCTTGTACTGGCTGGGGTTGATGGGGAGCTGTAGTCCTAAAACATCCAGAAGGCACTAGTATGGGGAAGGTTGGTCTGGCAGATAGTTCCACATTTTGGCTTAAACTTCCTAACTGATGGAATGGATGGGAAATGTTGATGTGGCCAAGTCTTGCCCAAGGCTGCCTTTAGAATCCACACAGTTCAGCCAACTGCAGCAACTCACCTGTAGCTCTTCTGGCTTCAGATTAACAAATGTGGCAATATCCATCGCAACCTGAGATCCAGCCAGCCTTTTCAGGTCCTCAGCAGGAGCTCCACCTTAAAAGGGGGAAAGGAAAAGGAAATGGGAAACAGAGCAGCTCATATATTTAACAAGGTGGGGTGGAAACCCCAAAACCACTTAAAATAAGAAAAAGCTGCCTTTAAAATAAAAATGGGGCAACGTCTGAGAAAAACTGGGAATGCACCCATTTCAGAGAAAGGTAGTCCAGATTCTAATAAATGTAAGAAAGCACTCCCTTAATTATGGAGGGGAAGGTTCATCTGGAAGCACCTTCGTTGCCCATGGTGGAATGGATGAAAGTTGCGGGGAAATTAAGGTACCCACCTAGATATGGCTGAATTAGGGGATAATATGCACTGGTTCCATTTTGGCTGGCAAAGGCCGTGCGTGCTTTTTCATAGAGGATGTCTTTCTTGCCTTGGGAACAGGAAGAAATATCTAACTTCTCAGCATGCCTGCACAAAGCAAAATACAGAGGGTGAGATTGGACAAAACAACTGCTTAAAAGCTTCAATCGACTTGGAAGGCAACTTAGCTGCTGACACAAAATAATAGCTGGTTCAAGGGACCTTGAAACCTTTGCCCATTTTCCTGGAGCAGCCCCTGCGTGCTTGCCTTGATGCTCAAACCACATGCCTGAGTCGAAGGACTGGCAACTTGGGCCTCACCTATGAAGGTGGCACCCTGGGGTCAAGCAAGGTGCCAATTCCATTGGGAAGACTCACATTGTCAGCCCCTGGCCAGAACTTTGGGTCGTTGAAACGCTGTCTCAGTCACACAGGAGTCTCTCTGCTGAGAAAATCTCACATGGCTGGGATGGCATGAAATGGCTTGTTAGGGGTGCATTTTATCACATAGTTGGCAGTGAGCTCAACAAGGGAAGTGATGGAGAAGAAATTCTGTCAGTGGCTGCTACCCATGATGGAGGTATGCTCTGCCTTCACAGTTGGAGGCAGAAAACCTTGCAAATGCCAATTGTTTGAAGCCATAGTTGTGGGGAATGCTCTCGTCCAGGAAAAGATATACCCTGGGCTCTGAATCAGAACTTTCCATATCTGTTTCTAGCAGTAAAGCTCCCTGCCCCACCCAAGGCAGCATCCTACCGAATTGCTTCTGGGTTTATTTGCTTCAGCTGATCTTCGTCCAAAAAGCAGAGGTATTTCCCCTCCAGCATGTCAAGTAATGGGCCCGTGAGGCTGCCCCCTTCTTCCATGTATCTTGACACCAGTCGCCTGAGCTGCAAGATGAAGAGTTCAGTTTCAGGACATGAACAGTGACACACTGGGTCACCTGTGGTGGCACATCTAGCTCTGACATCCAACAGTGCTGTAGGACTGCGGCAGGCAACGTGAAAAGCTTGCTCCAGCAGCTAGAGTAATTCCTTATGTATCTGCATCATCTAGGAACCAGTTTTGGCTGATGCCCATTGGGGCTGGTAGGATGCAAGGCAGGAGGCCATCAGTAGGTGGCACCAGAGGCAATGACAGGCAGAGCTAACCAATTCTAGTTTTGTCCTTGGCTTCCTCTCTGCTGAGTTCTGCAAGTGGCAACTCTGAGACTAAGGAGGGGAGAGGAGCCTGGCAGGCAGGCAGACAAGGCCACCCACTGGAATGGTGGAAGGAAGGAAGGAAGGAAGGAAGGAAGGAAGGAAGGAAGGAAGGAAGGAAGGAAGGAAGGCGGTTGGCTGAGAGCAGACTGAGTTTGGTGGCATTGAAACTATTCTGCTATTCCTTTAAGGTCGTGGTGTGAACTGACAAGGTGAAAGACCTAAGATAAGGAGGTAGCTTTTTCTGTTACTCCCATTGACTAGTATGAAAAGTAAAAGGAACTGGGCTTTCCTGCTTCATTCTTCCTTTCCTTCCCTGACTGTAAAAGCAGAGTTTAGTTTGTTATGAGCAAAGCTTATCAGTTAATAAGAGAAGTCTGTGTTTCAAAAGTCATGCTCCTTAGAACCATCATTTCTGTTAAGAAGACCTTAGTAGTTGCAATAGCTAGAGCAATACCCCCCACTGGATACACTGCAGGGACACTATGTTCTTTCCTTCTGCACAGATATTTTAAGGCTTTCCTTAAAATTCACATGGAAATGGGATGGAGAAGGACCCTAGCTAAGTGACAGAGCATCTGCCTCACAAACAGAAGGTCCCAGGTTCAATCCCTGGCTTCTCCAGGTAGGGCTGGGAATGCCCCCTGCCTGAAAGTCCGGAGACCTGCTGCCAGTCCGTGTAGGCAATACAGAGATAGGTGGACCAATGCCCCTATGTTCCTGTGATGGGACAGACCTAGTGGCATGCAGATTTGAGAGCTATTCTGGGGAAGGTTGCCTTTTATTGTTACCATAGTCGTACAGTTTTACCTGTCATGAAAACCAATAAAAATGAATTCATTTTAAAAAGTAGAATCTGGACCGACTGGACTTTAATGAGTTCACCCACCCCGCATTTATATATGTTACCTGAGCCATCTCCCAGGCTCCATTATTTCGGCTGAGCAAAGCAGCAAGTGTGTCACTGGAGGTGATATTCCACCTGCCAATCTCATCTGCACTGTACAGGCGTGAAAGGAAGCCAAGAAGCTTCAGGTGGTCCTCTGGAATCCCCTTGGGGTAGATCTAATAAAGAGGGTAGGAAGTTCATTAGTTGTGGAGCGAACAACCTTGTTCGCTAGAAAACCCATCACCCTTGGCCAACATCAGTAAGGCAAAGGTTGCAGACGTTTCTGTGGCAGCCAATCAGCGGCATGCACAGCCAGCTTCTTCTGCAGTGCACAGATACATCAATGGCCCTTCAGTTACCTCGTCCAGCTTCCTTTTAATTACTGTCAAGTAGTCGTTCGGAAGCGGCTGCTCAAGCAGTGGGACCAAGTTGGCTTTCAAAACCTCATTGCTCAGGCAGGCATCAAACTGCTGGGCGCTGTCATAGTGGACGATGAAGAGCGGGTCTTCCAGTGAGCTGGTTGTGACTGGAGTGGACCGGCAAGCTGTTGGCAGAATTTCACAGGCAGGGAATGACCTTGCAAACTTGGCAATTATGGGAAACCGTCGCCCGTCTCTTTGGCTTTCTCTCCCTCTCTCTCTCTCTCTCTCCCTCCCTCTCTCTCTCTCTCTCCCCCCCCCCCATCAATAGTCAAGAAAGCCTGTGACTTTTAATACAAATTGTTACCATGCACCAAACATACAACTTTAAAACAATTGCTACATAAAACAAATGTCTTAACCTAGGGCTGCCATACAACACAGAGCTTCTCTTCCACAGCCAGACATTTTTCAACCTCATAATGTGGAGACTGTGGTGTATTTAGGATATATGGTTTATTGACACATATAGACAGCCTGAGACTATGATGGAGGGGCTCACAGCATTAACACCCCAAGAGGGTCTTGCTTCTCCCATAGCCACAGCGTTGGATCCAACAAGAATTAGGCATGGTTCTATCTCAGGGGATGCAGGTGGCGCTGTGGGTTAAGCCACAGAGCCTAGGGCTTGCCAATCAGGTCGAATCCCCGCAACGGGGTGAGCTCCTGTTGCTCGGTCCCTGCTCCTGCCAACCTAGCAGTTCGAAAGCACATCAAAGTGCAAGTAGATAAATAGGTACCGCTCCAGCGGGAAGGTAAACGGCGTTTCCGTGCCCTGCTCTGGTTCGCCAGAAGCGGCTTAGTCATGCTGGCCACATGACCCGGAAGTTGTACGCCGGCTCCCTCAGCCAATAAAGCGAGAGGAGCGCCGCAACCCCAGAGTTGGCCACAACTGGACCTAATGGTTAGGGGTCCCTTTACCTTTACCTGTCTCTCAGCTGCCCAGTCTACTTCCTGCTTCTAACTTCTCCCTCACACACCTCAACTCTGGCCGTTGTCTTTCTAAATGACTTTGGCACTGAGCCACTTCCTTTGTTACCTTAGTGACTCATACTATCACCTCACCAGGAAGCTAGCCTGGCTATTCCAGGAACTGATTTCATGCTGGATCCAGGAATTAAAGAGGGGCTCAGGCGTATAACCTACGTACCTCCAATCTCACAATGAGATAGAGATATATAGATATGGACAATAAACTAGCTTCTTCTTTTTTCTCTCTCTCTCTCTTACTTTCTGGTGCTCGTCTAGTCCGAGGAGGGGAAGCAGATTTCGATCCAAGCGACTTTAAGAACAGGATTGTTTTCGCTTTCTGTGAAGCACTTTGGCTGTCAAACAGATCTGCCACCTTCCTGAAGAAGATCAGTCTCTCTTCCTGTGTAGAAAAAAAAAAGGAGATCCACCCGAATCTGTATATCAATGGCAAATCTTAAGGAGTTATGGGAGGGGGGGTACAACAATAACATGTGAAGCCTGGGACTCTTCTGCTCCCCCTACCTTGTTAATGGCGTCCCAGGTGGTACGGTTTATATACAAAGCAAGGTCCCCGAGATCTTCCAGGGTTCCATCATCCCAAGACGCAGGCGCCCTGTGTCACATGGAGACATACAATCCTCAGTTGCTTTATGGAATCCTTGGACCAACCTGCTACCCTCTAGTTGTTTTCGGACTACAACTCCCAGAAGGCAACAGCCAGCACAGCATGATCAGAGCAGCCTTCACCAACCTAGATGGACCCACCTCTTTTGCTGAACTGATATGCTAGAGTGAAAAACACCTCCAGATAAGGTGCAGGGAGGGCTCTTCAGGTATAGCCAAAATAATAAAGAAGAAAATATGGGTTGAGTCAATGCTTTCAAGGACTATGGTTGGCTGAAGAGTTGGCTAAAGTCATGGGTTGGCAGAAGATGGTTGGCTGGAAGATGATACAGCCAAGATGGTGCATTTTTCCTATATAGGACATGTGCAAATGGAATGCTCCAACAGGCTCTTTTGGACTCTGTCCTGTCATACATTACTGAATAAACCTGACTAACTAGGTATTTCATGTGAGCCTCCATACTGAACCCCCAAAGGGAATTTCTCCCACAGCACATGCAAAACAAACATAAACCAGAAACGTTTGTCTGTCCCTGTTGCTCACCCTTGTGAAGTCTTCCCACTGCTCAGAAGCACATTTAAGGCAATCCTCTGGGCAGCTGTGAGATCAGGACACAGTTTCAGGTTCTCCAGGACCGTTGGGTCAGAGTCCAAAATGGTGGCTGCATCCATGTCACACACGAGGGCTCCAAGCTTCCGCAGCTGCTCTTTGCTGAGCGAGGTATTCTCCACTCTCTGGTGAAATATTTAATATTAGGACCAAAGAAGGAACAAGCCCATTTTGCTCTTACAGTTGCTAGTGTTCATTCCAGCAATGGCATAACCAGGGGCAGCCACCCATGAGGCCAGGATCCACAGGGGCAGCAGATCCCAATGTAGATCTTTATTTCCCCCGCTTTTTCCTGATATAGGTCTTCACTCGCCCATTCTTCCCTGGCAGGGAGGGGGATGCCATGCTGGGGTCTCCCTCAGGTACTAGAATGTCTTGGGCAGCATCCCTTCTTATTTGGTTCAGGGGGTGTTAGATGATATTGCGTTAAATCAAGTGTTATCCTGTGTTTCCCAACCACCTTCTCCATCACTTTCATTGTGGCCAGCTGAATTTGCCAGCATGTGATTGACTCCCACTTGAAAATAGGGACAGCCCGAAGGTGGTCCCCCTCCCCCACTGCCACCCACAAGGCCTTTGCATAAGGAAAGAGCATCACTCACAAAGCAACTCAATGCATTCTCCAAGAGTTTGTTCCTTTGAGTTGATCCGTTGGCCAGCAGAGTTAGATTCCCTTGGGAAGCCAGGGTGTAAAATGCTTCACAGTTCTGATGATTTACTTTGTTGAGACTGGAAGATATGAGAATCTTCATTATTTGAGAGGCAGGGCAGGAGTGCAGGAAAGGTTTGTTACTACAAATGCTTCCACTCCTCCATATCCAGCTTTTAACTACAGTTGTACCTTGGTTGTCAAATGCCTTGGTACTTGTCTGTTTTGGCTCCCAAACGCCACAAACCCGGAAGTGAGTGTTCCAGTTTGCGAACGTTCTTTGGAACCTGAACATCTGGTGTGGCTTCCGCGGCTTCTGATTGGCTGCAGGAGCTACCTGCAGCCAATCAGAAGCCGAGCCTTGGTTTCCAAATGTTTTGGAAGTCAAACGGACTTCCGGAATGGATTCCGTTCGACTTCCGAGGTATGACTGTAATGTTGTCCAATGTAAGTTCTAAAATGATAGCCTAAATATTATTTTTCATCTTTGTGTTCTTTGGGGCAGGGAAGGAGAGTCCTATAATGTTAAAACTGGTATACAGGAGGAGTAATAACATAAGAAGAGCTTGCTGGATACGGCCAATGGCCTATCTAGTCCGGCATCCTGTCCTCACAGTGGCCAACTAGATGCCCCAGTGGGAAACCCACAAACAGGATTCAAGCACAAGGGCAACTCTCCCTTCCCTCCTGTGGTTTCTAGCAACTGGTGTTGAGTGATAGGTCTGGAGAATGAGCACAACCACCTAATACATTTAAAGCACATGTGCTGCTCTAAAGAATTCTGGGAAGTGTTGTTTGTTAAGGCTGCTGGGAATCGTAGCTTTGTGAGAGGTGAACTGAAGTTCTTTGGAGAAAGCCATATGCTTTCAATGTGCTTTCAACATTTGGTGAGAGAGCAAAACAAAGCAAAACAAAGTTCCTGACCCTTAACTTAATTCCTCAGAGAAGACAATTCCTCAGATCTACTCACGGAAAGAAAAGCAGCACATCACGTGGGTAACTGGTGAAATTTGCTGCCTGGTTGTTTCTGGAGAGAAGTTTTGCCATGCAGGAGAGCTGATGGGAAGACAGCCAGCATTACTCCCCTTACATCCTTCATAAAACAAAAGCTGGATCTCACCTCCCTATCCATTCCCTGATCAGTGCAACATCAAGCTTGAAAAAGCAAACTGGGTGTCTGGGTGTGCACTTTCTCTCTTTCTGAATCTCGCAGGGAAGGCTGATCTGAGGGAGAGAAGTCACCCAAGGGGGAGGGGGTGCCGCCTGTTTCACTACACTCTCAAAAATTCAAATGTACCCGCAGGCCTATAAGGCTGGTAACTATAAGGTGGCACCATTTTCTATAACCTTCTTTTCACCCCGTGCAGCACTGCTTCCATTCTGCTGCAGTTCATATTCTGCCCAAAACTATGTTTTTCATCTTGCTGTGATGAAATTACGTAACTTAGATAACTAATTGTGTTGTCGTTATGATATCCTGCCCCATTCATTTCAATGCAAAGGAAACGCAATGCAAATGCGGGGGACGTAAGTGTGTGTTGTTTGCAAACTAGAAGCAACAACAACAGTGAATGCCATCGTATTTGCTGGATTGATTTTGGTTCTGGGCACAGGATGCATAAACAAGCATCAGTAATTTCCACTCCTATTTCTGTCTTGGGAGGAATTCTCTGACATCACTACTGGTGATACAAGAGAGCTCTCCTGGCCTCCTTTGCACAGGACCCCAAATTCAGAAGCAGCCAAGAAAGCACCCTAGCATACTAATCCAGCTTGGCACTCCTTTGGCCCCTGTCTCATACCACACCATCCTGCCTGAATCCTATGATTCTGCTAATTGAGGGGAAGTGAGGGCAAGAGTCCTCAATCCAGCCCCATTTGCAGCCCATCTGCATCTCTCACCTGTTCCTCACTCAGGTTGGCATTTTTAATCTTCACTTCTTGGACCAAAGAGGACAGCTGTGCAGGTGTCAGTTTGGTGGCGACATTGCATTGGAAGCCTTGCAGGATGAATGCAGAAAGCCTAGAAGCCACAGAGGTGCATTAGTCTTTCACTGCCAATTTGCTACCAAGCCAAGTTCAAGATGTTACTGTTAGCATATAATACCCTTAACAATTTGGAATCGGTTTACCTATGAGGTCACCTTACCCCATATCTGTCCACTCAACCGCTTTGATCGGCGGAATTGGAACTTCTACAGATGCCACATAACACCCATTCCACATTTGGAAAAACGCCATCTTTTAGTGTGGCAGATTCTACACTTTGGAACTCCCTGCCTATTGATATCAGGCAGGCGCCTCTGCTGTACTCTTTTTGGCACCTGCTAAAAATATTCTTGTTTAGACCTGCCCAGGTGCTTAGAAAGCCAATGAAAGTTTTAATCTGTTTTTAATCTAATTCTTATTTTAACATTTTGAACGTCTTAAAATTCCGGTATTAATTTTTCTTACTGATAATTTTATCATTTTACCTTTTTTGGCAAACCACTGAGGTTTTGTACTTTTTTCACCATCAACCGCTGTATAAATTTTAAAACTCGACCATATTTCACTAGATGCCTTTATTATATATATATATTAGATGCCAGGAGAAAACAATTCTCTATAACCAGGCCTTGGGCTGATTAAACAATCTATGGCCTTTTAAATGTGTTTGTGGGAAGAGGAGGGTAATTGGTTTGCTTTTTGCTTTTCCGTAATGTATTTTGTGTTCTCATTTTTATGTTGTGAACCTCCCTGTGATCTTTAGATGAAGGGTAGTATACAAATCAAATAAATAATGATGCTGAAAAGGAAAATGTCTAGTATGGAGAATTAAATCAAATTGATTAAGCCAGGGAGAGGGCTTCTTAAAAGATAAAAATTCCTTCATGAAATTAGCCAATTATGCCTCCCTTGGATACAAGCCCAAGGTCAAATCCATGGAGCCAATGGAAAGGTTGTCAAATGCTGGACAATTGTTTTTTAAGATAATTCTGGCTAGGGATCTCCCCACTCCTGCACCGCTGTGGGCCCACAACTCACTCCGTGTAATTATCCGTGCTGGACAGCACATCTCCAAACAGAACAGATGCCTAGAACAAAGAGAGGGGTCAATTCAGTAGCAAGGAAGAAGCAAGATGGCAGAGCAGGCCTGTCCAGGCTCAGATTGCCACACACTGCCTCCAAGGCAAACAGGATTTAAGAGAAAAACCAGAGTCATTACCTGCTGTGGGGACCATTGTTTCTCATTGATTTTGTGAAGATCTGGGATCTTGCCTCGAATCACCAGTAGCGAATTTGGGACTTGGTCCACTAAATCATCTGGGACGTTATTCAGGATGTCACTGAGGGAGGACGAGTTTGAGAGGATCTACAAGGTTGAGGGAAAGGTCATAGAACCAAATCAGAGTTCCCCAAAATGGTTTATCTTATGCGGCTTTGCCCCATTCTAGTGCCCTTCAAATGTTTTGGACCACAAGTCCTATAAGTCTCAGCAAGCACAGGGGCTGAGGGGAGATATAGTCAAAATGGATTTGCTAATGATAACTATAGTCCAAAATGGTCACGGGGATGCAGGCTGAGGGGAATTGTAGTCCAAAACATGTGGCGAGCAAGAGGTTGGGGTAGGATGATGTAATACAGGGGTTGTCAACCTGGTCCCTACCACCCACTAGTGGGCGTTTCAGGATTCTAGGTGGGCGGTAGGAGGTTCTACGGCACAAGCTGAATCCTCCTTCCATCGAGCACTGGTGGGCGGTAAGGAAATTTTACCATGAAGGAAGATGCATCAGTGGGTGGTAGGTATAAAAAGGTTGACTAGGTAAAGGTAAAGGTACCCCTGCCCGTATGGGCCAGTCTTGACAGACTCTAGGGTTGTGCGCTCATCTCACTCTAGAGGCCGGGAGCCAGCGCTGTCCGGAGACACTTCCGGGTCACGTGGCCAGCGTGACGAAGCTACTCTGGTGAGCCAGCACCAGCGCAGCGCACAGAAACGCCGTTTACCTTCCCGCTAGTAAGCGGTCCCTATTTATCTACTTGCACCCGAGGGTGCTTTCGAACTGCTAGGTTGGCAGGCACTGGGACCGAGCAACGGGGGCACACCCCGCCGCGGGGATTCAAACCGCCGACCATACGATTGGCAAGTCCTAGGCGCTGAGGTTTTACCCACAGCGCCACCCGCGTCCCCCAAAAAGGTTGACTACCCCTGATCTAATGATATGAGTATTATCGCTCTGCCCCAAATAACTGAAGCACTTCCTACTGCAGCCTGCTACTTTATCTAGGCTTATGCAAAACAAGGAATTTGGTCAAAGTTGTGGGCTTCTGAAGCCTGAGAATCCTAGCTTTCATTTAAAACAGAGCACAAGTTTCTAGTCCTTGTGACTTTGAAGAAATGTTTGGGTCGTGTTGGATGAAATCTCATTGAGGGAAAGAGCGGGCTTCCAGTTATTGGGTCTACTAGATTGCAAAATCTTTCTATGCCCCACAGCTAGCAGAAGCAGTAAAAACGGTACTAATGTTTAGATTTTCCTGATCTGCAAAGTGTATTCAGATGGATAAATTTTATTTCTTTTCTGGCTTTTGTAAAACTGAAAGTAACCAACCCCTAAGCTAAGACACTTCCAAAAAACCCCAACACATTTACAAAGGTTGTTCCTGTGCCCTTAAGCCCATTTACCTTGCTAACAAAGGCCTTCCTTAAGTGTTCGGAGCCTTGCCTGAGAGCACTCAAGAAGGCAGCATTCTTTGCCAGCTGAATTGCCAAATCTGCTGAGATTGAGTCAAAGCTGCTGCTGGGCAACCCTTGTGCCAGGGTGCCAAGTCTCTCAAACTTCTCAGCGGTATCCAGCTGCAGCAAGAAGGAAAGAGGAGGAAGGTCAGAGCTTCAGAGAGGATCGCACTGTCCTGCAATGTCAGTTCCCAGGTTTCAGGGGTCACTGTGCAAGATGATGCCCTTCTTAACACCAACAACTTTGGTCGTTCTCTTGCCACACCCCTCTGAGCCCAGACTGCACCACTGCCCACAGCTGCTGTGCCCTCACTTTGGGGTAAGGCAGTAGCTCAGCAGTAGGGCACTTGAGCTGCATGCAGAATGTCCTGGGTTCAACCCCTGACATCTACAAGTAGGGCTGGGAATGTCCCTTGTCCATGAGAACAGGATGCCAGATTCAATGGGTCTTTGGCTGTCCAGAACTGGAAAGAGGCAGGTGGACTGGATGCCCCCTTGGACTGGCCTAGCATGGTGATATTTGCAGCTCTTTCCAAAAGTCAGCCACCAGAGACGGGTGTCAGATTGCTTACCGTGAAGTCGCTGCGTAGGATCTTGTTCACCAGCCCTTGGGACTGTCCCCTGTTCCAGCCATTGACCTGCCCAAGCGATTCCAAGACCTGGGGGTCCACCAGATCTTGCGGCGTCAGATTTGAAATCTGACCAGTGGTCAGCCCCATGGCCTGCTGCCCCAAGGCCACCAGAGTCTGTCTGTCAAATGTCTTGACTTGTGCAACAAGACTCGTAGCAAGCTGGGAAAGGGAGACAGATATAATTAAGGATTGGGAACTTCTTGAATGCAAAATGCCTTCAGGGAAAAGTCCATGCAAATGCAGCCACTGTTTTGGTTTTTCCAACATGAAAATTTTCAGATTCAGGGTCTGCAGACATGATTCTGAGACAGCTGTGTTCAGATCCTGACTCAACCTTTGATTCAGTGGTTAATCTTGTCCAAGACTATCTGATTCTCAGCCTTAGTTTTCCTAACTGTTAAATGGAAATGACAGTGATGCCTCTTATTTTTTTTGCATAATTAAGTTCTACATGGCATAATGTTACCAAGATTCGATGCATTCAATGCATTTACAGGCACACAGCATAGAATCACATGGATCTCAGTAGAATCATTGTAAATGTAATGCTATCCCACAAATAATCCTGGGAGTAGTTGCTGAGCATTCTCTTTTCCCTTCAAATAACTGCTATTTCCAGGATTCGCTTGGAAGAAGCAATTATTATTAATCCAGTTTAAGTCTACTGTCTAGCTATCACAGCATCAGTTACCTGTATTGTGAAGTTAAAGAAAACAATGCACCTTTTGCTGCTCTGGTTCCTGGGTTCCAGAATACCAGTTTCTGGAGGTCTTTACTAAATCTGACTTTGGAATGGAAAGTGTGACCTCCTCACCATAAAATGTTATGGGTAGGAGAGAGTTGTGGCTTGGGCTAGGACCATGAAAGTCAGCACATCACCCTCTTCCATAGCCCAGAAATGAATACATATAATTTAAAAGTATTTGGGGAAGGAAACCTTTGGGATGTTTAGTCTCCAAAACCATCTGGTGCTCTTTGTACAAGAATCCCCACCTTCATGTCTATCATGGCACAATCCTAAGCACATTTAAGGTAAAGGGACCCCTGACCATTAGGTCCAGTCGTGGCCGACTCTGGGGTTGCGGCGCTCATCTCGCTTTACTGGCCAAGGGAGCCGGCATACAGCTTCCGGGTCGTGTGGCCAGCATGACTAAGCCACTTCTGGCGAACCAGAGCAGTGCACGGAAACGCCGTTTACTCACATTTACTCAGGAGTATATCTTGATGTGTTCAGTAAGGATTACTCTCTTACAAGTTTACAGCACTAAGACTGCATTCACATACCAGTTTATTCCATTTCCCATTTTCATTACTGATCATTTCCCCATTATAGTTGAGCTTTCATGCAATGTAAAAGCCACTTCTGTAAAACTAGCAAAATATAGTGCATATTTAGCACTCATTTCTGCGTTGATTGCTTCCCAAAAAAATCTGTTTGCAGCCCCCCTTGACCCCGAAAACCATGGGAGCACAGTGATGGAATCTGGGGTGGTATACCAGCATACAGTTCTTTCCTGCCATTTTCATGGGGGAATAGATGCAATATGCTGTCCAATGACGTTTGTTGTTGTGGCACACCACGCCCACTGACGTGAATGAAATTTAGTATGACATGCAGATACATCAATGAAAAGGGCACAGTTCCAAAACACAGCTGTCACGGCAGTGTGCCAGGACTGTTAGAAAACGGGACAGAAATGCTAGCATTATAATCAGGAAAACTAACAGAATATTCCCCATGTCTGAATGCATCCTAAACGTGCAACATGCAATCACAAAATTCGGAGGGATCTCACCTGGCGGTCAGATGCCGATGGCAGAGAGGAGTTGCAGTAGCGGTTGACCTGCGCAATGAGGTTCAGGGCCTTGTCAGAGCTAAGGCTGGAGATTTGGGTTGAACGTCTAGCAAAGCAAATAAGCTGGTCTGGAAGACTTGGGAGGAAAGTGGGTGGTGTGTTAGTTTCTTGCTTCTTCATACATGATATTTTGGTGACTTATTAGATTGAGTCGGAGCCCTTTGCTAACTCGCTGAGAACGAGAGTGCTGCCAATCCAGTTGAGACAGAACAGAAGATTCTCAAAATCAACCAGAGCTTGATGTGCTATAGCAACAGGGTTTTTATTAGCCCGAGCAGATGTTCTAAGCGCATAGAGTGAATGTGCATGGGAAAGGGCAGAAGCCATCGATTTATTATGGTTCACATTTTTATGCCAATTTTCCCCCAAATGCAAGCAATTTCCCCTCATATAACGCATCTTTGTATGCTTTTTTTTTTTTTTTACTAAAAGGCACGTTTTTATGCAGCCTTTATCTATAATATGTATTTTTGTACACATGACTTGGTTTGAGAACTGTACTGAAAAGTTTGGAAATCTGCAAATTTTGAAGGATGGCCTGTGTTTCATTTCACATCCTTTTTCAGGAAGTGCAAATTTGGGTACATTCACCTCTGAATGAAAACTAAACTGAATTTCTCTCCCATGCCTAGATGCGGTCCAAAACATTTGGAGGGCCCCGGATTGGCCAACAGCTCTTTTAGCCACTTCATAAACAGTCGCTCCCACACCTACCTCTCAAGATTGAAATCGGAATCAACGGCAAAGAGGGCCTCAGCATACATCTCTGCCAAGTCTTTACGGAGCCTGTTTCTGTTGATGAGCACCAGGTTGTCTGGGTTGAAGGCAATATCTTGGAACTAGGAAAAGACACAGCCATGTAAGTGCTTGCTGGGGGAAACGCAATGCAAAGTGGGATGCATAATCAATGATGCACCGTTTGTGAACTGAAAGCAGCAACAGCTGCAAATGTCAATCATATTCCCTGGATTGATTTCCATTCCAGACATGGAAGGAATGAACAAACAGTGGCAATTTCCGCTCCCATTCCTGTTAGAATTCTCTGAAATCCCAACTCAGTTTCAGAGCTTGATATTCTATTTCCAGTTTTCAGTGAATTTTCCATAATTTTCCATTGAGGACTTGATCAGCACCACCACATCATCTCCAGATAATATCTGCACCAAAAGCAAATCCAGCAGACCCACCGTGGAAGAATGGCAAACGCAAGTAATTGGCTATATGGAGATGGCGGAAATGACTGGCAGAATCGAGAGCAGGCAGAAGACTTGGTGGAAAAGGATTGGAAGAAATTCAAAGACTATGGAGCACAAAGATGTTAAAAGAGGAGATAAAATAATAGGCATAGTGAATAGTTATACAATCATAAGGATGAATAGGATGAAGTTTGGAAATAAGATTTACTTAAATATTTTAATAGACAATGAGATTAGGAAGTAGGAATTTGCTGAAGCTGATGGTAAACAGGAACACAAGGAAGGGAGGTGAGGGGAAGCCAAGAAACAGGGTTAAGAAATTTAGAACTTTAAAGGGATTCTTATGTTTTCTTTATTCTTTTTGTTTTATGTTTTGTATTGTTTTACTTTTTATGTATTTCTATGTATTTTTCTTAAAAAACCTTAATAAATATCTTATTAAAAAAAAAAGCAAATCCAGCAGAAATACTTACTATGGTTGCATTGTTGTTTGTGAGTAAACGCATGTCCCTGGCATTGCTGTAACGGATGTAATTCCCAAGATACGTGACAAGCCAATCCGATGTCTCTTTATCACTGGGATTGTAGCAGCGGGGCTTCACTTGGGCAGCTGCGACATAGATCAATGAAGGTTCTCAAAATGGAGCAAGGCCTCAAATGTCTCATATATATACCAGGCCCACTGCTAATCCCTGTTTTTTTGCATTTGATCACCTGACACCTGCAAGCCCCTCCGAGCAACTGGCTGCAATGCAACACAATGTTCTAACGTTCTCACTGCTTGAAGTAAAAATGCAAGCTATAGAATGGGGATAAGCTGTGAGGGAAGGTAAAGGTCCCTTTTGAAGAGGGAATGACAGGACAACTTGTACTCTGCTGACAAAATTAGAAGACACACAAGTCCATTTCAGAGGTTCTTTAACATGTGGAAGGGTGCAAACAAATCAGAAAGGGTGCTTAATAAAGAGCAGCCACAGTTCTATACAGTGGTGCCTCGCAAGACGAAATTAATTCGTTCCGCAAGTTTTTTCTTCTTGCGAGTTTTTCGTCTTGCGAAGCACGGTTTCCCATAGGAATGCATTGAAAATCAATCAATGCGTTCCTATGGAGACCGTCCGGGGACAGAGGGGAAGCGCCGCGCGCCTTCCCCTCTGTCCCCGGACCTGTTTAAAGCAAGGGGCGGTGGGGAGAAGATTGCTTCTCCCCGTTGCCTGCCCCGCAATCTCCGGGGACAGAGGGGAAGGCGCACGCGCCTTCCCCTCTGTCCCCGGAGATTGCGGGGCTGGCAACGGGGAGAAGCGATCTTCTCCCCGCCGCCCCTTGCTTCAAAAGAGGTCCGGGGACAGCGGGGAAGACGCGCTGCGCTTCCCCGCTATCCCCGGAGCTTGCGGGGCAAGCTTCGTTTTGCGAAGCAAGCCCATAGGGAAATGCGTCTTGCGAAGCGGCTAAGAAAACGAAAAACTCCTTCATCTAGCGAGTTTTTCGTCTTCCTAGGCGTTCGTCTTGCGGGGGTACCACTGTATTAGGTTGTGAAAGCAGCTTCATCTTTCTGTGGCTCCAGCCTGGATATTGACTTACCTGCCAGGTAAGCTTTGATGGAATAGTACACTTCTTCCTCCTTATCTTGGGACATGCCTGTATTTTTGTTCAGCTTCTGCACACTGCAGACAGAAACAATGGAAGTTAAGGCACACAAATAAAACTTTATTGTTTCTTTGCTTTGCAGTTCAGACCTATGAGCGGGGTGAATTGCCTTGTGTGGCCGCCAGGAGAAACCAAGAAGATCCATTGTTGAGAAGATCCATTTGAGGATGCCAAATTTAGGCCTCAATATTTGAAAGACTACCTCCTTCCCTACAGACTGTCTCAGGTGTTAAGGTCAGCAGAGGGGGCCCTCTTGGTAGTTCCATCTCCCCCCCCCAGACATTTGGGAGAGAGGCAGGAGAGGGCATTCTCTGTGGCAGCCCTAAGTTGTTGAATTTCCTCTTCAGAGATGTATCCAGCTTATTCACTATACAACTTTCAGCAAATGCTGAATATTCACCTCTTTACACCGGCCTTTGGCACCTGAGATGCGTGTTTTCAGAGCCCACCCTATTCCTGTGATTGTAATCTGTTTTAACTGTTTTTAATTTTGAATGTTATATTGACATAACCCACCCTGTAACCTGCTGGTGAAGGGCAGGTAATAAATTCATTGTTCCTGTTAATAATAGCATTAGCTCAACAGAAATATGTAATTTCATTTTGAATATATTCAGAACCAAGCCTTTGGACCTGGCTACAAAAGCCTGCCCCTGTTGCTTCAAGAATGTGAAGGCGAAGAACTCCAAAGCACTGCGATACCATTCTCCTCTGCCTTCATAACAGCCTTACGAAACAGGCTAGGTGATAAGACTTGCCCAAGCTGGAGACTGTTTCACAGCTCAATGAAATCTGAATCTGTAACTCTTGTGCACTAACTGCTATCTGTTATGACACAGATACACCAGTGGCAGACCTTAAGCTTTCAAATTTCAGGGGTGTCCTGTGTGACACCAAATTCCACCCCCTGCCTCTTGTATTCCATTCTGCATCATAGTTGTGGAGCCCCCTGTGAAGCCCTCAAGGCTCCACGCTCAGTGGGACCTCTCAATCCACCTCTACACACACATGCCCAAATCGGAAACAAGAACTCTTACATTTTACGGAACGACACACAGCTGGTATTCATGGTCTCGCTTGCATTGAGCAGGTCACCATCGAGGAACATGAAGTAGGGATCCAGGCGGCCACTGAGCCACATGTCCACTTCTGTGTTGTTGCTGCTGGAAACTACAGTCGGCCACACACCAGCCAAGAGAGCTGCCTTGGTGTCATTTGGATGGATGCCCTGCCAAAGGAAGGCCACAAAAATAATTTTTGAGCATTAGAAATCAGGTGCTGCAAAGCCTGGATCTGCTAGAAAGTGAGAGGTAGAACATACAGGAGGATGAACTTTCAAAATCCACCTGAATGAGAAGAGTACATTACATTTCAATGTAACCCCAGTCTCACATTTTGGCCTTAGCTTGATCTCATGAGCTTCAGAGCTTGTCCAAAGCTTGTACAATAGTGTGGTTGAAACTTATACACAATGTTATTTTCTAGAAAAAGAGATCCTGGAACTCACCATGAACACCTCCCTTGTTCTCTTATAATGGCAACGGCGCCCACCTGAGAGGTGCCATGGCAAATGTCAGGCTCAGAATCATAAGAACATCAGAAGAGGCCAATGACCCATCTGGTCCAGCATCCTATCTTACAGTGGTCCTGCTGGAAACCAGCATCCAGGATTCAAGCTTGGAGGCCCAAGAGCCCACCTTAAAACCAGAGACACCTTTTGCAAGCCCCCAACATCTTCTGCTGCTCAGATCCATATCTGACCTCTCTCAGAGCAAATCCCATTTCCCAACACTCCTCTGCACCACAACCCTCCTCTTCCTTTCTATCTCCATAAGCAGAAGGACTAAAGTTTTTGGGTGTTCTTATCCTACATAAAAGTAAAGACATTGTGTCCAATCAGTTTTAAAATATGAGAGTTGCATTTTTCCTGTATGTTGCTATATCCCAGGTGTGGGGAATCTTTGGCCCTCCAGATGTTGCTGAACTACAACTCCCATCAGCCCAAGGAAGAATGTCCAATGGGCAGGCATGATGAGAGTTGGAGTTCAGCATATCTGGAGGACCAAAGGTTCTCCACATCTGCTATATCTCCTCCTTTCTTCAGTGTGGATTTAAAAAAGAAAGAACAGAAACCATTTCTGTCATTTTCCCCCACTTACAGTAACATTTTTCTGGTTAAATTTATCAATAAAGGCTCCATTCTGCTTATAGTTCCGTAACACAGCAGTCAAGAAAGGCTTGTCATTGAGAAATCCCTCTCTGGCAAATAAGTCAGCCAGAGCATCTGGAGAGACTGTATTCACAATCTGAAAACAAAAGCATAAAAAACCACCATTATAATTTGAAAGAATAGACTTGGGTTATAAAAATGCAATTTAAAAAGAGGCTGGTTATTATACAAAAATAAATTATTTGTACAATGATTCTGCGCTGCAATTGAGCAGGCTACAAAAACATTTAAGCAGACCTTCAGAATAAATCTTCTCTTTGGTGCTATTTAAACAGTGGTTTTGTCTCATAAGCCTTGGGGAGCCACAAGCTGTACAGACCAAACGATGTGGAGGGGAAGGGAAACTTTATCATCGTAAGGGCTGCATTCCCTTCTGGGCAACTTTCTAAGGGCCATGTGCCCATGGTGGGTGGGTCCAAAGGCAAAAGTGGGTGGAGCAACAACAGCTAAATTTACCTTCTTACAGTAGGATGGTTTCTACACACACACACACACACACACACGTCTCATTCGTGGTGCTGGCATCCTGACTACGAAATGCCTTTCCAAGACAAATTAAGCAATCTCCCTCCTTTCCTGCATTCAGGGAACATGTAAAGGCTTTTCATTTAAATAGCTATTATGGCTTTTGATCGATAGTGGTATGAAGTTTTTACACTGCTGCTTTCAGCTCCTTTCTGCATCATGCTACAGTGTTCTTTTAAAATTGCTTTTACAGTGGCACCTCAGGTTACATACGCTTCAGGTTACATACGCTTCAGGTTACAGACTCCGCTAGCCCAGAAATATTACCTCGGCTTAAGAACTTTGCTTCAGGATGAGAACAGAAATTGTGCGGCAGTGGCGCGGCAGCAGCAGGAGGCCCCACTAGCTAAAGAGGTGCTTCAGGTTAAGAACAGTTTCAGGTTAAGAATGGACCTCCGTAATGAATTAAGTACTTAACCCAAGGTACCACTGTATGTTAACTTGATAATCATGAGCTGCCCTTGACTCCCTTCGGGAGGAGGGGTAGCTTATAATGTGAAATAATAAATCATCGTAATGAATGAATAAATGCATCATCTTTCCACAGATGTTTTGACGGAACTGCAGCAGCAAAAGCACCTTTTGGAGGTCCGATGTGGGGATGAGGGTCTGCAGATCTCTCAGAGTCAGGAGGCTGGCAAAGCTCTGAAACATCTCTTCTAAGAAGACGGAGAAGCTGGAGTTTGCAGAGAAACAGCGGAGAGAAGAGCCTAAGAATCCAAAGGACAGGAAGGGGCAGGGAGAGAGAGAAGCGGATAAAAACAGTGAAATCTTTTAAATTTCATAACTTGGAGAACTGTAATGCCCCCTCCGCACCAAAAGAAAAACCATTATTAGAAACATTTGTCACAACAATTTCACAACTGATATTCAAATGCTATTTTTTAGCAATGAAGCTGAAGCTTTACAGTAGGTGAACATATCAGACGACACAGCGATTCTTCAAACAGCTCTTGTTTATTCACAGGCCAGAACAGAACAGAACTGAAGGGTTCAGCCAGCCTGCTTATATAGAGCTCCACTAGATCGCAACAGTAACCATTTTCCATAACTACCCAATCACTGAACGTCACTTTCAATCCCTTATTTGCATATGTGGACCTGAACTATCTACAGTATCCCCCTGCTGGCTCAGGGTGAGAACTTCAGTACATATCAGAAACATTTGTCACAACAATTTCACAACTGATATTCAAATGCTATCTTTTAGCAATGAAGCTGGAGCTTTACAGTAATATTAATAATTAGCACTGATGCAGAGCACTTCAATGGGGCAAAGCATCTGCCTGGCCACGCAGTGAGTCCGTCTTTCCTGGTCCCAAGTTCAATCCCTGGCATCTCTAGGTGGGGCTGGGAGAGACCCCTGCCCTCAAACCTTGGAGAACCCCTGCCCATCAGTGTAGACAAGTCTGAGCTAGATGAACCAATAAGGTAAAGGTACCCCTGCCCGTATGGGCCAGTCTTGCCAGACTCTAGGGTTGTGCGCTCATTTCACTCTAGAGGCCGGGAGCCAGCGCTGTCCGCAGACACTTCCGGGTCACGTGGCCAGCGTGACGAAGCTACTCTGGCGAGCCAGAGCCGCACACGGAAACACCGTTTACCTTCCCGCTAGTAAGCGGTCCCTATTTATCTACTTGCACCCGGGGGTGCTTTTGAACTGCTAGGTGGGCAGGCGCTGGGACCGAGCAACGGAAGCGCACCCCGCCGCGGGGATTTGAACCGCTGACCATGTGATCGGCAAGTCCTAGGCGCTGAGGTTTAACCCACAGCGCCACCCGCGTCCCGAGATGAACCAATAGTCTGACTCAGAATAAGGCAGCTTCCTATGTTCTGATGTTTCTTCCTATGTTTTGCACATAGCAAGCCTTACAACAACCCTGTAAGGCAGAACGGTATTATTATCACCCATATTTCAGATTGGGATGGGGGTTCAAGTTGCAGGTGGCCTATAGCACCTACTCATCGCCGGAGACCTCAAAGACCATGCTGTTACCCAGCCATCATTATCAAATACTGACACATTCATACAAAACCACATGCAGTTCATGTATATAAACACACACACCAAACATGCATGCTTCTGCCTAGCAGCCTCAGGAAGCTCTGGCTTAACAGCTGTCTCATGCTCATAAACATTTTTTAATGATAGAATGGTGGCTGGCTGACCAAAAAATGAGCAAGTCAATGCCTGCAGTTCAAATTCAATTCCTGAAGCTCTACAAGTTACAAGTGTCCACAGGGGTTATCTCTGCACTCTCCTCGGGCTGGCCTTTGCCAACCTGATGCCCTCCAGATGTTTTTGACTAAAGTTCCCATCAGCCCCAGCTACTACAGCCATGTGGGTTGGGGATGATGGGAAACATGATATTGAACAGGGGCTACTGTTTGATTTTGGGTTGAAACAGAGGTTGACTAATGACATTTGCCTCTTTCAGCCCTGTGATTTTGTGTCAATTTTGCTTTTCCCCAAATCAAATGGGTGGGAACCACATGTGTTTTGGCTCTACAGTATATAAATTCAAGCCCTGGATTACTGAGCTGTCAGACAACCTTATAGAACAGGGGCAGGGAAACGTGTTTCACTCCAGCTGTTGTTAGAACCCAACTCCCATCAGCCCCAGCCAGCAAGAGTAATGGTCAAGAATTATGGGAGTTGTAGTCTAACAGCATTGGGAGACCTGCGGGTTCCCTGTCACTGTTATAGGATGTTTGCCGCCCAGGCATGGGCCACTGATTAAGCTTTAAAAAACTGAATTGGAGTTAGGGGTGGGAGAGAAATTCAATTCAGTTCACATCTGAAAGCAGATCTATCAAATTTTAATTTTCTAAAACATAGCTATCCTTTGAAATTTGTTCTTATCCAAATTTTACAACACAGTTCTCCAACAAAATGTTTACAAACATGCATATATTATGCATAAAAAGGGAAGTATGCATAAAAATGAATATATTAGTGAAGATAGCATACAAAAGTGCATCATATTACAGAAAGCTGCTTGCAAAATATGTACACAAGTCAGAAGTACATGTAAAAATGTGTAAAAATTCACGGTGGTGAATTTTCCCAAGAAGAGTTTTTCAAAAAAATAAATAAATCTCAGTTTACTGCAAAATGTGGAGAATTGAATTAGGAACTGTAAAAACATGAGAAACTGAGGGAACTGAAATTCACAGAGTAATTGCAAAACATTTAAGAGTGGTCAGATTGGGTCCCTGAATTGCCAGAAACAGGCAGAATTGCCCCTTACCGTTAGAATTCAACCCTTTCAGATAAGGAAGCTGGAAAGACTGAAAGACTTCCTCTTGGAGCTGAGAACTCATCTTGGTAAACTGTGCATCGAGACCTTTAACGCTGGGAAGAAAAAGTATATTGTTGGACAGATTGGTGGGCAAAAGAGAAAGAAATAAAAAGATTAGTCTTCGTTCATGATTTTATATGCTTGTCCGGCTCCCCTTCCACAAAGGATAAGGCTATGGATTCAGGGTGGGAGAGTAAATTGCACTCAGGAGAACCAGTGGGGTTGGGGAAATCACATTTTCAAATGATTGCAGTTTTGAGCGCTGGAAGTATGGATGTAAAGGAAGCAGTAATTTCCATTCCATCCTATCTCCATCACAGTCAGAGCTGTTTCCATTCCGCTACAGTTCGGCTTCTGCTAAAACCAACATTGTTCAACTCATTTTCCACTATGTTAAAACTAACATAATAAAATGTGTAATTAATGATGTAATTAATTTCAGTTGAAGGGTGGAGTAAAAAGAAATGCAGAAAATAGCAGTCCTTTCCGGACTGAAAAACTTGATAATAGCTACAACTGCTCAGCTTGTGATTTCTGTTCATAACCTCCAATGAAACTGGGGGAAAATTCTGCTTTTCTGTTTTTGATGGGATTTTCTGGCACCCCTAGTTGGGGAAATGTGGTTTATTGTCTTCAAAAGACCTTCCCTTTTAGTTGTGGTGCAGGCAGACATTTTTAACCCCTGGTGAAATTGAAGGACATTGAGCAATGAAAGGGTAGCGTAGAGAGACTCTTGGTCATAGTCACAGCAACATGAACACAACCCATACATTGCCTGGTACTGTTTGCATCCCATTGTCTCATTGTGAAGGCACTGAAGCATGTCGGCAGAGATGGCCGAGATGAAAAGCCGAAGCCTCTTCTGGAACCAGGATGTCACAAAGGCTGTCTCATTGAAACGATCCTCGTTTCTCAGCTTCTCATCCCACAGAGCCCTCAGTATGATAGTTTTCCATTTTGGGGAGATCAGGGAAGAGTTCATGATCTGGAAAGCAAAAAGCTGGCCTTGAGGAGTTTCTAGCTGGGAAACCGGAGCTCACAAGGAAGTGAAGAAAAAAGGCAGGGAGTGGAGTCATTCATCATCATCATCATCATCATCATCATTTATTATTTATACCCCACCCATCTGGGCGGCTCCCAACAGGATTAACACATTTTTTATATATACCTTGCGATCAAATGCCTCCAGTGCTTTCTCCAGCTCCTCCCCATCCACTTCACTGAAGAGCACCCTGACTATATCTGAATGAAACCTCCTCACTCGTCTTCCTTAGCACAAGTTCCAAGGCGCCAACGATGAAAGTGCTGTTCACTTCAGTCAGGTTCTGGAGCTGAGGAGAGAAATGGGGGAACCTTCGCAATATTGCCTCTTGTGTACAGGAAGACAACGGAGGCCTATTCGTTAAAAGGAACAGGGCCCTGGTCCCACCCCCACACCCCTGCAGAGGGACTAGCTGAACAATGGCAGGGCTGGGTGGAGGGACGGCTCTGTCTCATCCAAACCCCCGCCAGCCCAACCAATTGGGGATTTTGGATTCCAGCCATTTCCTCTGATGGAAGTTAAGCTATGGAACTTGCTGCCAGAGGGAGGCAGTAGAAGCCACCTACCTAGGAGTAGACAAAAGTCATGAAGGAGAGGGCTATCAGTGGCTTCTAGCCATAATGGCTATGGTCTGCCTCCACAGTTGGAGGCAGCAATGCTTTTGAACTCCAGTTGGAGGAAAGCACAGGAGGTGAAAGAGCTTGAAACCTGCTTGCGGGCTTCCCATGGAGGTTTCTGGTTGGCCCCTGTGAGAACAGGATGCTGGACTTAGATGGACCATTGGCCTGAACCAGCAGGCTGTTCTCATGTTCTTAGTATTCCTTCCAGCCTGCTAGGTAAAGCCTAGTTTGGCTTCTACCAATGTGTGTGTGTGTGTTTAGGGGGGGGGTGTTGTTGTTTTGCCTTGCACACCACCTACTCCTAGTGGGCTTGCCACAAACACAGCAGTGGTGTGAATTGAGTACCACTCCCAGCGTACTTTCTGGGGCCCCTGCACATGAGCAGATCTTTATTTGGTTCTGAAAACGTAGCACGGGGATGTAAACCACTTACATTGTCGCATACAATATGGGTGAGGTTTGGTGATGTTTTGACATCCATCCTGGGAACAAACAGAGGTGGGGGGAGGGGGAGAGAAATACACATAGGCTGAACAGGTAACAATTCAAAGGAGGCTGCCTAAATTCCACTGGTGGATTAGAGTGAGCCAGTTTCTATAGCCTGCAGTACACAAGGGTGTGCCTGATCCAGATTCCATCTATAGCTCTGGAATTCCCCCATCCCAAGAAAGTAGAGTCATATTTTCCAAGGAGGTCCCTCTTTCTCCTCCCAGTTTCTTACTATTTATGGGTCTTCTTAGTTCAATTTTCTGCTGTCTGATTAGTAGCTGTGATGAGCTATTAGCTGCGATTCCAGTGCAGTGGTACCTCGGGTTACATACGCTTCAGGTTACATACGCTTCAGGTTACAGACTCCGCTAACCCAGAAATAGCGCTTCAGGTTAAGAACTTTGCTTCAGGATGAGAACAGAAATCATGCTCTGGCGGCTCGGCGGCAGCAGGAGGCCCCATTAGCTAAAGTGGTGCTTCAGGTTAAGAACAGTTTCAAGTTAAGTATGGACCTCCAGAACAAATTAAGTACTTAACCCGAGGTACCACTGTATTGCAGGGGGTTTCACAAGATAACCCTCCAGGTCCCCTTCCAACTCTAGAATTCTATGCCCAGCCCACTACTTTTTAAAGCACATGAAAACTCCACATACACACGCACCACACTCTTTTACAGCCCATCTCTTGACCTCGCCTAACCAGAAGCCTAACCCAACCCATCTTCCTTGCCTGCCTTCCATTTTGGAACTGACTTCAGCTTGGTTTCCCAGCTATACATCTACCTCATCCAGCAATGCCAGTTATTATGCATTGCCCCCTGCAAAAGAAAGATGGGTGGGGTGGCGGGGCCATAGATACAGAGCATTGCTTTGCATCCATCTGAAACCCTGGAGAGCCACTGCCAGTCAGTGTGACCAGTACTGAGGCAGAGAGACCAAGGCAGCTTCCTATGTTATGTTCCTAAGATTTGCAATTGTAATTTTATATGTGACAAATGCAAACTTAGGAAGATGGTTCTGAATCTAGGGTCCCAAACCTGGCCCTCATAGGCACCTCCCTTGGTGTCCATCAAGACCTCCTGTCCCCGTCCCCCTGGTTCTTTTTTTAATTTTTGTATCTTAAAAATAAGGGGTTTGGGCTGCTCGCACTTTAGAAATACCTCTCTATGTCTCCACAGACTTCTGAAGCTGTTGCAAAAAGAAAAGAAAAAGAAGTTTAGCCAAGTTTCTTCTACAGTTCCCCAAAATGACTATCCTTTGATGCTGTATATGAGACACTGTAAGTTTCACATACCATTAATCTTAGCAGCAGGGCACTAGAAGAAAAGAAAAAGAGGCATTATTATAATAATAGTATATTAATTCCTAATCTAATATGTTGCTATTGGTGACCATGCAACCATGTACCATTCCCTGAATTCACAATCTCCTTGTGTGCCTGTAGTACAGAATAAAGAAGCCTCTCTTTTTTAAGTGTCTAGTCTTTATGATTGCAAAATTAACAAATGTTTTAACACACAAGGCAATATAAGTGTGTGTGTGTGTGTGTGTGTGTGTGTGTGTATAACATTATTCCCCCTCAGCTGTTGGGAAGGGAACATGATTGTTCTATTTTATTTTATTTTTTAAATGGGAGCACAGCTTCAAAAAGTTTTAAGAATCCTTTCTCTACAGCAGCTGTCCTCAGCTACAGCTCCCATATGCCACAGCTAGCATGGCTGTTTTTCCCCAGTGGCTGGTCATTCTACTCAAGCCCTGCCCTCCTTCTGGTCAAGGGTTTAGAGGAGCCTTCGCTCATGTGCTGCCCTCCAGCTCACTAGCTGGGACTCATGGGGGTTGTAGTCCAAAATATCTGGAAGGCACCAGATCAGGGAAGGCTGTTCTGCTGTGTCACCTCCTGCTGAAATATGGTTGACACCCCATTTTCTCCAGAAGGTCACCATCGTGCAAGCCCCCACCAGAATTCCTTAGTGCTGAAGCATCATCCAGCCCAACCAATCCTTGCCATTCCGTCCTTAGAAAAATTCAGAGGGCGATGTGCACGCAATTTAAAATATGCAATTCAGGGAGAGGCCCCATCACAGAAGAAGAAAAATACCAGACAGACATTTTAATTTACAACCAATGGGTGGGAATGAAGTTTTCCTTAGCTGCTGGCTTCCTTGGTGAAGCAAGCCCTGATAACAGCAGACCCCAAAGACCAGGTTAGGGAAGCTCCTGGGTGAAGTCAGAAGGGAGTGTAAGGGACTTACAGATGCAGTTTCCACCATGTGTAGCAAGAGCCCTGTAAAAAGAGAAGGGGGAGGAGACAGAGGCAACATCACTGAAAACACCTAGGGATACATGAAGCCCCTTTATATGGTCAGGCCATTTGGTTCAGCATTGTCTTTTGACAACAGGTTTTAAGGTTCTTCTCAGGCAGAGGCCTTACACCGAGATCCTTTGGGCTGGAGATGCTGAGGACTGAACCCACCGCCTTCCACATGTGAAGCAGGTGCTCTACCAACTGAGCCACGGCCCTTCCTTTAAGACATAGGAACACAGGAAGCTACCTGATACAGAGTCAACCCAAGGGTCCATCTAGCTCAGTATTGTCTACTAGCTTCAGGGAGGGAGTTTTCTCCAGCCCTACCTGGAGATGATGGGGATTGAACCTGGGGCCTTCTGCCCGCAAAGCAGATGCTCTGCCACTGAGCCACAGCCCAGCCCTTTGGGAATATATGATGAAGATGCTTTATGGCAGGTCAGACCATTGGTTCATCTAATTCAGTCCTGTTTACAATGAGTGGCAGAACCTCTTCAGGCAGGGAATACCTGGAATTGCTGGGGATTGAACCTGGGATCTTCTGCATGCAAAGCAGGGGCCCTACCAACTTTGCTATGGCCCTTCCCCAAAGAAAACGGAACATGGGAATCTTCCTTATACTGAATCAGAACATCAGTCCATCTAGCTCAGCATTGTTTGCATTGGTCTAAAATCTCTTGCAGGGAGTTGGTAATAATAATAATAATAATAATAATAATAATAATAATAATAATAATATATAATTTATTATTTATACCCCACCCATCTGGCTTGGTTTCCGCAGCCACTCTGGGCGGCTTCCAGCAGAATATTAAATACAATGATTCATCAACTATTAAAAGCTTCCCTAAACAGGGCTGCCTTCAGATGTCTTCTAAAAGTCTGGTAGTTGTTGTTCTCTTTGACATCTGGTGGGAGGGCGTTCCACAGGGTGGGTGCCACTACAGAGAAGGCCCTCTGCCTGGTTCCCTGTAACTTGGCTTCTCGCAGCGAGGGAACTGCCAGAAGGGCCTCGGTGCTGGACCTCAGTGTCCGGGCAGAATGATGGGGGTGGAGATGCTCCTTCAGGTATACTGGGCAGAGGTCGTTTAGGGCTTTAAAGGTCAGCACCAACACTTTGAATTGTGCCTGGAAACCGGAAACTTTGAATTGTGCCCGGGACCTATGGCAAGGGAGATGAGTCCAGGTGCCAGAGTATTTCATAACTTTGTTAGGTTGACTTCCTTTTACTAGAAGTAGGTTGACGCTCTCTGAAGAGAAGGTATGCGAAGTGGGAAATATATTGGGGGAGCAACAGCGACTCACCGAGGTAAAGGCCAAATGCTGCCAGCAGGAAGGAATTGCGACACACCAACGCCATGATGAGTCTCGGCTAGAAACTGGAAAAGGAAAAGAGGGACCATAAAATCATAGAAATGTCGAGTTGGAAGGGCTCTAAAGGGGCATCTAGTGATCATGTGTGATCATGTGCTGATCACCACTGACACATCAGCATTAAAGGGTGCTGAAACAACTCTATAGTTTTCAAATTAAGTTACAGAGTTTGAAGGGGATAAAGGCAGAAATGTCAGAAAATCCCAATGGAAACAGAAACAGGAGTGAAAATTGCAGGGGGCGTTGCTTATTAGTTCCATGACCAAATGAAAATCAAACCGGTAGGTATGAGGAGTATTCCCTGCTGTTGCTTTTGGTGCACAAATGATACATAATTGATTACTTTCCCCCTCCTATTTGCATTGTGTTTCCTTTGCATTGAAATGAATGGCATGGAACAACATAATGCAAACATCAATAATTCTAGAATTAATTACGTAAAATTTCTGCTTAGCCAACAGCAAGATGAATAGCACTAAAGTAACGTAAATTTTGCAGCAAGGAACGGTGGATCAGACCCACATCAATCTTGCCTAGCATGCCACCTTCGATGGCTGATGGTCAGATGCCTATCAGAGCTCACAAGCCACAAAAGAAGGTAGACAATAATAGACATCTTCTGTATTTGAAGGCTTCCTTATCAGCTCCGATAGGTGCTGATTAGAGCTCAGCCAAAATTTGTCCGAAGACATATCCCCCAGGAAACGTCTTTTTCTCACCCCCCTGAGGGAGGGTGGCAGGGAGGCAACTTTGCAAACTTTTCTCTGAATTATTTTCCATCACAGACACACTCTGCGAAGGTGCTGAATCTGAGGCATAGCAGACAATACAAAGCACAGCTGCTGTCCCTTTCAGCAGCAAAAGGAAAGAAAATATTAACTGTTTAACTATTTAACTATTGCCAGATTCTGGAAAGAGCTAAAGGGTACAGGGTTGGATTATTGGTATGGGAGAATGTGGAGGTTAGCTTTAGTGGAGAAACTTAAATAATGTTATGAGATTCTTTTTGAAAGCGGGAAGGAGGCTGGATGCTGAGAGCCTTTGAACCCCTGGATCCAGCAAGTGTTAACAGAGGAACATAGCAAAGGGGCTCTGTGTGAGACGGGCAGATGGGTGGAGCCACCCCCAACTCATGAATAGTTAGAAGGACAAAGCCAGACTTGAGAGCTAGAGAAAAAAGCAGCAAGCTGGAGAGAAATTCTGAGCAATGTTTGATTTCTGTTTGAATTCAAGGCTGCAGCTATTGGAGAAACAAGGCCCTTTTTGGGGTGTCAGTGCTGTGAATCCTTCCATCATAGGCTCTACTTGTATATATGTGTAAATTAATCATATATCCTAAAGACACCACAATCTCTGCTATTCCTCATTTCCAAATGAAACACAAACCCTGGGTAAAGGCCAGGAACCCCTGGAATCTCACATCACTCAGAGATTGGGGTGACATGAAACAATATAAATTGAAGGCAATTTAGGGGGCAAGCAAAGGATGATTACTTCTGGAGGTAAAGCAGATGCTCTCCCCCTTTGTTGTCATTTAGTTGTGTCCAACTCTTCATGACCCCATGGACCAGAATATTTCATGAGAGTCCCATGGACTGCAAGAAGATCAAACCTATCCATTCTTAAGGAAATCAGCCCTGAGTGCTCACTGGAAGGACAGATCCTGAAGCATGAGCCTCCAATACTTTGGTCACCTCGTGAGAAGAGAGGACTCCCTGGAAAAGACCCTAACGTTGGGAAAGATTGAGGGCACAAGGAGAAGGGGACGACAGAGGACGAGGTGGTTGGACAGTGTTCTCGAAGCTACCAGCATGAGTTTGACCAAACTGCGGGAGGCAGTGGAAGACAGGAGTGCCTGGCGTGCTCTGGTCCATGGGGTCACGAAGAGTCGGACAAGGGGGAGAGCATCTGCTTTGCCTGCAGAAGACCCAAGGTACAATCCCTGGCATCCCTGGGTAGGGTTCAGAGAGACCCCTGCTCAGTTCCTCGAAAGCCACTGCCAGTCAGTGGGGAGAATACTGAGTTATATGAATCTCAACAGTTTGATTCAGTATAAGGAAACTTCCCAAGTTTCTATGTATCACTTTTTATGATACCGCTTTTCTTGTTTTGATGTTGTCTTTTTTGCATATCACATAGAGATTTTTAATTCTGAGCAGTTTATAAATGCTTCTGAATAAATAAATAAATAAATAAGCATTTTGATCTGCATACGGAGTAATGCATTTCTTTTTCATCCTGTGTCAAAGTTTTAGAATGCTGTACAGTGTGGTCACCAACTTCTTGCTGAACTCAAACTACAGCATATAGGTTGAGAAAGAACAGAAGATCATCTGAACGATGAAACAATGAAAAAATAAATTAATCTAGTTTAGGGAAGTCAAAGGCAATGGGGGGTCTGGAACCCTTAATAGTTAATGGTGTCCAACCAGTGCATATTTCCATCCTTATTTGGATTTGCTATTATTTCCATCCTTCAAAACCATAGTAACAATTATTATTATTTTATAACGTGCCATCGGTATATGCTTTACAGAATCTCAACAAGCAGATCTCTGCCCCCAAGGAACTTACAAAGTAAGAAATCAAAGATTGTGGAACGGGGGAGAAGCAGAGGAGAAACAGACAAAGAAATTGAAGCGGGAATGAGGTGAAAGTGAAAGATTTCAGGAAAGGCTGCAAGCAGACTGAATCTTCACCTACCTGTATGTAGCAAAGCCCACCTTCCAGAGGAGACAGGTATCCCTGAGATGAATAATGTAAAAGAACAGGTCTTTGCCAGCCTGTCCTGATCTTATCCCTCGAGGGCGTGGGATGTCGGAGGGGACAGGGTGTGACAAGTGTCAGCTTTCCACTAAACCTTCGGAAAGGGCCAGAACTGGGCTGGGCGTTGACCCTGCCTCCGTCATTTGCTCAGATTATGTAGAACCGCTGCAACTTTGGTCACATTCAGCTTCAGAAACCCTCCACAATCCTGGTGGAAATTGTTCAGTATACTGTTTATATTGCTAAAGGCGCATTCTCCCTTTGGCAGTAAAAATGCAAAAAAATAAAATAAAAAATGAATGGAGCCTTACATGCAGCTAAGTTCTGCTCAAAGTAGACCCATTGAAATTAAAGAACCAAAGTTGACCATGCCCATTAACTTCAGTGGGTCTACTCTGAGTAGGACTAGCATGGGACACAACAGTCAACTTGATGCCCTTTCATGATACCTAAGAACAGCTGCCTGAGGCGACTGCCTCATTATGCCTAGTGGTATGGCCTGCCCCACAGCTGTTGAAACAAGCTTATCAGATCACTTTAATGTGTGTTCTCAAACTTTTGTCTACGTATTTCAATTGCTACAGAAGGCAGAGGAGCTGCGAGCTAGCCAAAAGCGGCAACTATTTGTGGTTAGTACCACATATGAAGGTGATGTATACAAAGTCAGACTATTGCCACAGGCCACATCCACGCCATACATTTAAAGCTTTATTATACCACATTTCCTGTCATGGCTTCCCTTAAAGAATTCTGGGAACTGTAAAGCGTTAAGGGTGCAGAGAGTTGTTAGGAGACTCCCTCAATCCCTCTTCCCAGGGAACTCTGGAAATT